AGTGTAGTGGATGTACTGTAGATAGTGTAGTGGATGTGCTGTGAGTGTAGTGGATGTACTGTAGATAGTGTGGTGGATGTACTGTGAATAGTGTAGTGAATGTAATGTAGAGGGGGTGTAAGTGGATGTACTGTAGAGTGTAGTGGATGTACTGTAGAGAGTGTAGTGGATGTACTGTAGATGGTGTGGTGGATGTACTGTAGATGGTGTGAGTAGACAGCAATATGTAAGAGTGTAGTGAATGTACTGTAGATAGTGTAGTGGATGTACTGTAGATAGTGTAGTGAATGTAATGTAGAGAGTGCTAGTGGATGTACTGTAGAGAGAGTACAATGGTGTGTACTGTAGATAGTGTAGTGGATGTACTGTAGATGGTGTAGTGAATGTAATGTAGAGAGTGTAGTGGATGTGCTGTAGAGTGTGGTGGATGTGCTGTGGGCGGAGTGTAGTGGATGTGCTGTGAATGGTGTGAATGTGTGTAGAGAGTGTAGTGGATGTACTGTAAGATGGTGTAGTGGATGTGCTGTAGATAGTGTAGTGGATGTACTGTGAATGGTGTGGTGGATGTACTGTAGATAGTGTAGTGGATGTACTGTAGATAGTGTGGTGGATGTACTGTGAATGGTGGTGGATGTACTGTGGGTAGTGCAGTGATGTACTGTGGTGTAGTGGATGTACTGTAGATGGTGTAGTGGATGTACAGATAGTGCAGTGGATGTACTGTAGATGGTGTGGTGGATGTGCTGTAGAGTGTGGTGGATGTACTGTGGATAGTGTAGTAGATGTACTGTAGATAGTGTGGTGGATGTACTGTAGTGTAGTGGATGTACTGTGGATAGTGTAGTAGATGTACTGTAGAGAGTGTAGTGGATGTACTGTAAATAGTGTAGTGGATGTACTGTAAATAGTGTAGTGGATGTACTGTAGATAGTGTAGTGGATGTACTGTAGATAGTGTAGTGGATGTACTATAGATAGTGTAGTGGATGTACTATAGATAGTGTAGTGGATGTAGTGATGGTGATGTATGGATAGTGTAGTGTAAATAATGTAGTGGACGTTGTTAGTTGATGTAGTGATGATGATGTAGTATCAATAGTGTACTTGGTGTAGTGCGTGGTGGAAGGCAGACAAGAGTATGGAGGAGGTGGGTTGTGTGTGTGGTGGAGGTGGGTTGTGTGTGGTGGAGGTGGGTTGTGTTGGAATAAGTAGATCTTTATGGACACATCTTAGGCTCTATCATACGTTCACTAAAGATTTTTTTTGAACGGTTCATCATATATCGTTATTTCTATTAACATTTCTTTGGATCATAATAGAAAGCGAGTAGTGTATAATAGTGGGTTAAGGTATCAGAATATAGTTACCCAATGGTGTAAAATAATTGACAAGGTTGTTATGTGATTGGGTAGTTACGGGTTCAACTGGCATTTGACGCGGCGCGCTGCTACTGGTAAAACCAAAATTCTTTTTTTTGTTTTATATTTTACATCGCTGTTTCTTAACTTTCACTCTGGATTTAAATTGCAAGGGTTAAGATGAATATATTGGTGAAAATCTACATGAAATAGAACAGAAAAACAAGAATAGGGAGTTCACACGTATTATTGTTGAATGCACCTTCACCAACACAACTCCTCCCACCCAAATTGCCACATTTTACTGTTATCTTTGAAATATTAGTGTACCACCAACATACTGAATCAATAAACACATGACAAAAAAAATGTCAAGTAGCAACAAGTTTTGTTGAGAAAATGGCAGCGTCCTCACCTGCAGGAGACTTGTGTACAGCCTGTCGGTGTTTGGGTCCTGTTTGTTGACACATCACCACCGTTTATATACCAATAATGTCAGTTATTTCTAAAGTCTCTATTATCATTCACTTCAATAATCCATCAAAACACAGTAGATAAGCCAGAGGCTTCAGTATTGTAAAGAAAACGACGAAATAGTCCAGCAATGAACGAGTTACTCCACCTGTTCCAACGACTGACGCTTTCTGACCACTGGCCACCACACGGCGAGTATTGTTGAAAAAAATACCACGAACGTGACTTGACGCCCTCTTTATTCTCCTATCTTTGAGAGTATATGTTACTAACTCAACGTAACTTAACCTAACAATCCTAGGGTAACTTTCTGTATATAAATAAGGATACACTGTTGATTCAGTCTCTTAGGAAAATGTACAAGAGCTTCTGTTCGTAGTACATCTTTAACATTTAACGTATCTTTGATACAAGACGCTATTTTGTCTTTAGTTTTCGAATTTATGGATTCTCTCGGATTCTATTACGCAAAAATACTACTTATATAATATATTGATAAGTAAAGGCATCAAAACTAACCTTTATACAAGTCTTATGTCAAAGATTTCGTAGAATTTACTGGAAAAGGGACCATACTGGCTCCAAGTTGCTGGTGAATGTTGACAACAAACCCTCACAGAAAACGGAATATGTTGGGGAAAACTATACTGTAGATGTTACAGCAGAAGTAAAGATAATATTTATTTATTTATTTATTTATTTATTTATGTATTTGTTTATTTATTTATTTATTTGTGCTTTTATTTTTATCGTTGTTGAATTAGGGTAAGAATACTCTTTCTATTCAAACTTCCGTCTCTACCTCCCTCACACTCTCTCTCCCTCCTGTTCAACCTTCCCTCTCTATCCCCCTCTCCCCCACTGCCCTTCACTCTCTTCAAACTTCCCTCCCTCTTTCCTTCCCTCTTCAACTACCTTCTCTACCTCTCTCCCTCCCTTATCCTCACTTCAAACTTTCTTCTCTACCTTCCTCCTTCCCTCTCTCTTCAAATGTCCTTCTCTACCTCTTTCTCTGCCAGTGTGTGTGCGTGTTACTTTTACTTACCACTGATCGGCTCGTTAGCCGCTTGGGCGATCGGTCACGTCTCTGTTACGCACTGTTGCAAGTACTGGGCATGCACCGGCTCCTGAATGTACCTGAACCTGGTCCAGTGTTGGTCAAGTCTTGTCTTGAAAGATTTCACACTCGGTGCCGTCACAACACTTTCTGGTAGATTGTTCCAAGAGTTCACAACTCTCACTCCGAAAACGTTTGCCCTCACAGTTTTCTGGACTTGCGGCTTCTTCAGTCTTGAGCTGTGACCCCTTGTGGGGCGAGCGTCCGCCAGCTCCAAGTAAGGACTCGAATGAGTAGTGCCCCTTGAGATGCTTATACACCTCAATTAGGTCGCCCCTTGCCCGTCTGTAGTATAAGCTAGGCAAGTTCAGGCGCTCCAATCTCTCAGGGTAGCTGAGGTGCCGAAATGCAGGCACCAGTCTGGTGGCCCTCCTTTGAACATTTTCAGCCAACTGACAGTCCCAAGCATATCTCGGGGACCAGAAGGTCATAGAAGTTAACCTTAATAATCCTCTACCCGCCCTGGGCCTTAGCCGCTCAACCAACATTGCTTCACTCACAGATACAATTGAGGCTCTACTGGCCACGACTTTTCTACTGAGCCGGAATTTGACAGAGACTGAATGCAGGTAAGCAAGTCTCACCTCAGACACCAGGTACTGTCGTCACCTTTTCGGAGTATATAAGACCATTAAAGTCCAGTTAGCTACGCAAAATTATGATAACTTTACCATTTTCTGAAGATAATTAAAAATGTTGTTTATGAGGAAAAATAGTTAAGCCATTATTACATGTTTAAAGATACACACAACTGGATTCTATTTCTACAAACTCCACAATACCAAGAAATGTTTCTATAATACATAAATAAACACAAAGTTTAGAGGTGTGATGCTCATTACCCGTTTCTTCAGTAAATGTATTGATGAGAAAATAATGTTTATCAACGTAATACAACACAAAAACAGTGATAAGAGTTGAATTTTCCAAAAATTTTCGCTAATTTTCCGAAAATTTTTAAAAAATTATCAGAAATTTCCGAAAATTTTCCAAAAATTTCCGAAATTTTTCCAATATTTTCTGTGATGAAATATAATAGTTACCCCTTAAACCTTCTTCTTCTTCCTCTCATCAAAACACTAATCCTTCTTATTCTTCTTCTTCCTCTCATCAAAACACTAATCCTTCTTATTCTTCTTCTTCTTCTTCCTCTCATCAAAACACAAGGGAAAGATCGAAAGCTAGAGGGAAGAAACAAAATTCGAAGTGGTCATTTTAAGATCGATAGCTAGAGGGAAGAAACAAAATTCGAAGTGGTCATTTTAAGATCGAAAGCTAGATGGAAGAAACAAAATTTGAAGGGGCGGTTAATTGTTTTATGGGATTAAATATAACAGTTACCCCTTCTTAGAGTTCTGTCACGAAATATAATAGTTACCCCTTAAACCTTCTTCTTCTTCCTCTCATCAAAACACTAAACCTTCTTATTCTTCTTCTTCCTCCTCTCATCAAAACACAAGGAAAAGATTGAAAGATAGAGGGAAGAAACAAAATTCGACTAGAAGCCGGTGAACTACTGACACAAGCAACACAGGAACTTGTGGTGCTCATTGCTGGAGACTTCAATGCCCACTATCAGCACCCAGTGTATCCATTCCACTCAGTTTTAGGTTATATTTCATAGCAGGCACCAGGATTATCTTTGTTTACCTGGATTATTGTGGTGGTTTAGTGATTAATACTGTGACAATGTTACCATATTAACCTTTGACTATGTTTGCGTTTTATCAGTATAAAACATTTATTGAGTGATAAACATTTCATTATACTGTACAGTAATTCCACTTGCATCTTTGTTGACACTAATATTACCAAAAATGTTGTGGGACAAACCTTAATTTTCACTACACCATCAAATCCGGGAGTTTGAAAGCTATGTGGAAAATATTATTGACATTATCATCATTAGTTATGATAATTTGGCACTCATACACTTCTGGATGATTACTTTTGACCATGACTGTACATGTGTACTTACCTTTATACATGTACTGTACTCATATATATAAGTTGTGGTATGTAAACATACACAGGAATAATGAAAGGCATGTGTAGCAAAACGATAGGATTTACTTCTTTTAAAATTTTAACATGCCATCAATGGGACATTTTACAACACAGTTCACAATGCTCTGCGAGAAAATCAGTTTGGCTGGAAAAATGCAAAGTTCATTTAGGAAGGGTGAGGAACAAGTGGGAACCTCCGGCAACTGAGAGAAGCTTTAGGGGAGAGAACTACTCTTAATAGTCAAATGTGCCAACTTTTTCTTCTCCCACAGGAGCTTGGCCCTCCAGGGGGTATTTCCCTAGTGAAGGAAATGGCCCCTTGATGGGACACTGATTATAAGTTTTTATTATGGACTCTTGAGACCCACTGTTTTATCTCCTTTAATCACATCATCAACATAAAGATGTTTTTCACTTAGATTTATCATTATTACAGGGAAAGCCAACTCAGTGTATAAAATATCAATGACACTTCAAAATGATGAACTTCATTAAAATAATTTACACAAAATCCTTTGCACTTACAAGATTTTTTAGTTTGCAAAGTTTGTACCCTTAATTTTGTTTCTAGATTTTGATTTACCCCAAAATATAATTTTTAAGTCCTCCTCATGATCACCACACTCAAAACACCACCTAAGAGCCCGTGCAGAAACCTTTGGGTCAAACAAATAATCCACTGACTAAGTATTAGCAGACATTGAATACACTGAATACGCACTAAAAATACATGACAACAAACTAGTCCCATGAATGGATATTTTTGTCTTGCAACTACACAACACAAGCACGTGGTGCTAAGCTGGAGGTCCTGATGATACAGAGAGAACACTCTAACCCACTGTTTACCCCTAACACTGAAGTTCCTTTATACACATTGCAAGTGTGTTTACTGATTACAAACTACACTATCTAGATACTGTATGATGATCCGTTCGTGCTAAACCCTCGGCACTGACATGTTTTAAGTTATTTAGTGGGTGGCTGGTGATGGCCCTCCCTGGCACTTCCTCAGTTGTCGGTACGGTGCACCTGTGCCACTTTAAGACACATCCGGACGCCACCTGTTCATCTGTCCAATTATCTCTGACCTATCATCTATCTCGCATCATTTATCATTTCACCACTTTTCAGCTTACCAGGTTTACTTTGTTACTAACCTTATTTGTCCAGCTAACGTTAGTACAGGAGGAAACCGGAGTACTACTTGGAGGAAACCTGCGACATTTGGTAGGGTCACAATGGATAACACCCTTCCCATGTGTGTCCGGGCCAGGACTTGAACCAATGACATAGTAGTGAGAGATACATACGTTACCGCTACACCACCAAGTGCAGCTTGATCATCTTGTCAAAATATAATCCACATCCTTCTGCTAACACATTAACACACATCAGGTGGTATCCAGTTGTGTCCACAAGCAGCACATGCTTATCAAAATCATAGTTAAACCATGAAATATGGTCCATTAGTTGTAACAGCATAACAAAAAATAAAAAATAATAAAATTCACACCATTTACAATGGTTGAGGAATACAAATACTGATTACAAATAGACTCGAATGAATATAAGATAAAACAATATGCTGTGTTGAAGAAAGGGGCTGAAATAGTCAACAAAAATAACCAATAATGAAATATGATTGTACAAATACACATATGATAGAATGGTAGTTATTTCTCTTTCTTCTAAGCACGATTGTATTGTAACATTAAATACGAAACAAACATGCAACCTTCCAGTCTGGGACACAAGAAACAATCATATAGCCCACCATTAAACAAAACAGCCAACTGGAAGGAACTCTTTACAGGAGAGAAATATATGTAGTCCAAAGAAAACGTATAATGTTGAGGTTAATTACACCAGAAGGTAATATATATGAAGTTGAGATACAGTATAGGTCAATAAGGCAGGGAAAGAGAGAGAGAGAGAGAGAGAGAGAGAGAGAGAGAGAGAGAGAGAGACACAGAGAGAGAGAGAGAGAGGAAGTACTAGACAGTAAAAGGTGCACATCCTGAAGTGACAGGAAGCTTTGTGTGCTAGGAACAGGCAGCAGCCATTCATCTGAGCAATGTTCACTTGAATATTAAGACTATAACATTGCAGACATCAGATGAACAGTGTGAGAGGTACATATTTTTCCATCAAGTGAGAGTGTTAGGCTAATGGAGTGAGACTGCTCTTGAGAGTAGAAGTACATAGCTGATAAACCTTAGACAACAATTCAACCTGAACTTGTACATTACCATGTACATAACAATATTTATAATATATACAAAATGCTAATCTGTTATTATTCTCTCTTTAATAAATTTTTGTGCTGCTTCAACAACATCTTGCTTGACTTAGGATTATTACTCACAGAAAATGAATGGAAGGTGAACACCTTCTTATTTTCATTATATTTGCCCTTGACCCTTAGGAAACATTATATAACTAATTACTCACCTTATGTTATTTACACTGTACAGATCATGTGGAGTGCTTCTATGACACATTCTTGACTATTTTTTATGGCTTCCAGGGTACAAAAGATGAAATTTAAAATCTTCCATCCAATTAGTGAAGAGCCAGGACCACATGTCACACGTTTATCACGGCAAGAGCTTTCATTTTTTGTTCGACTATTTTCCAGAACCTGAGATAATGTACACTCCTAAGATGTCAGTCAAAATCATAGTGAAACAGCGGGTAACAAATACATAACAGAGACCATGAACTATTATGTTGCTATGGATCTCCACGATAAAATGTGTATTGCCGGAGAATACAGGAAACGACAACAAATAAACAAACTTACGCTAAAGGAAGATGCACCCTCTACACAAGTCACCCTCCACGTACTTCTCACTAATAGTTATGTAAAGTGTAATGAGAGAAGCATTATCTCACGTCGCTCTTATGGTCAAGATCAATTATAAAACAATGTACAGAATAGGTGTAGGAATCTAGTACTGTACACTTAAAGAGACCACTGTGCATCTATAAATGATCCAAAAATTTTATAGAGCTGCCTGGTGGTAACTTATGCACTTCAGCACATGAGGTCAGGTCAAGTCTAGTTATCCGGTATGCTAATGGTTATGGAGACTGAAATATAACTCAAAGATGTGGAGGTAAAAGTTTTACCAGATATTAGAATTTTAGCTCAAATAGAGATGCTGAATTTATACTTTTACTATTGGGTTACAATAACTGACCACATTGAGAAACTGACACTATTTCCCACAAGAGATACTCCTTAAATGGTTTTTTTTTTGGGGGGGGGGGTTGGTGGAGAGACATGTCAACACTTAAAGGTGATTCAGACTCAACCATGATAAAATTCTTAAACACTCTGATTATACTGTTGATGTGATTTATATCCAAGTAACATCTGGCCAAAAGCTAATATCTTATATCCCATCATACAAAAATCTTGAATTATAAAAAAAAAATCCAGCATTACCAAAACCTGCATCATTGTGCAGCCGCAGTGATCAAGGTTTTCAAAAGTTAACGAGAGAGGTGTCTTGAGCAGAGGGTCTATCATATTCTACTTGTGTACACTGGTTGTCTTCTGTGATTAAATGATATGAGAAAATAATATGATAATCCATTAACTTACAATATCAATGAATATAAAAGCAACAATTCCAAAACCCAACTACAATGCTCTTGTTTGTATCTGACATACAAGAGATAACATAAAACCTGAAGTGATGCACAGTAAGGCATCTGAGTGGTAGAGTTGTTGGTCTTAGTCGAGTTTTTTGCATTGTTAAGATAATTATAAGAATTTACACTTGCCGTCAAATGATCTACCTCGTCAGAGCCTCCGCCCATTATCTCTGGAGTTCTCCGACAGAGTGTACTGCTTGGTGATGGATCAATTAGCACTGTGTCTGTAGCTTCTTGAAATACGGGAAGTGGAGGTGCGTGTGGCTCGTGTGGGAGGAATCGCGTGGCAGCAAGAGTATAATCTATAACAACAGTCTAGTTAACTACTCTCATCCCTCAATCTCTCTAAGAGGTACAGTAGTGAGACAGATCTAAATGATGTTTCTGTCTAGTTGGTAGGCAGAAAATCCATTAGTTTTACCTGTCTCTACCTTGAGTGTAGGAAAGTTAGTATCAGTCAGAGGATTAGTTAAAGACTCAACAGCTCCCAGTCTATAAAGGTGGACGGTAATGACCAACTTCGGAGGAAAGTACACAACCTTTGAGCTCTAGATTTTTTCTTTGTAATCTATGATCATAAGAAATTGTATAAAATGAAAATCCGAAATATCTTCCCTTCCATCTATAAACTTCAAAGCTTTCTGTAAGGCAGCCGTGATATTTTAACTTTAGATGTGAATGCAGCAGAAAGAGTTGTGTGGTTCCCCTGCAAGCTGGTGACCGGCGGTGTAGGACAAGTGGGAGAGAAACCAGCAACACCAACGACCCACCACGGACAAGAACCCGTGGAGGGCAGCAGAGGAGGGATCCTCAGGCTCTCCGGGGCTCGGGGAATGGTACAGTAAGGCAGTGAGCAGGCCACCAACACTCCTCCCGCATCTACCGCTCCCTCTACCAACACTTTTCTTCTTAACACTTCACTAAAATTAGGCTTCCAAAAATGCCATCATACAGAGTTCACAAATAAACCAGGTTACAAAAAGAGTTGTGGTAGTGTCGAGCAGGACACAGCCCCCGCACCCAGAGCCTGCCAGCTGCCGGCCTGCCAGGGGACATGGCGGGATGTGCACGGGGGCAGCTGCGCATAGCGCAGCCTTTGAGGCGTCACGGTGCAGTACAAAAATGGTATAAAGGGTGATGGGTCCTTGGAAGCTACTGGCCACGTGAACCACGTGCACCGCCCACTCCCAGGGCAACTGGGCTCGGCATGCACGTCACGCATGCATAACTCAGTAACAAAACGCTACCTAGGCAACTCTAATAACTGCAAGCATAGGCAGCCACGTGTATCATGAGGCCAGCAGTAAGTGTTGTAGTGAGGAGAGGGCGGCGAGCAACAGCGGGAGTAGCAGCGGCGTCGACCGAGCCAGGGTGGCAGAGTCGGGCATTTGTGGTATGTGTGCCTGAACCTCAGCCAGAATAAGCACCGACAGTGCCATGTCTTCCCGCACCTCCTTGGCGTGGTTGTTGATCTTCCGGCCCACCTCCGTCACCACCCTCTCACATGCCTCCTGCAATGGTCCATGTGTTATACACAGTTTTATACATACTTAACTTACACACATGCTTTCACTTGAGCATATTCCTATAAAGCATTTTACTGTACTGTAATCTACTAGATTAATTAATTTTCTACAATGCAGACAAACACTGTGGCAAATGTAGTGAAAGTAAAGCTACACTCAACCATCTTCATTCCTCCCCACTGTAGTTAGGTACCCATTTAAATTTTACTTACTTTTATCCTCTTTGCCACTAATTGGACCATTAGCTGCTTGTGCAGTTGGTCACATCTTTGTTACACACTGATGCAAGTACAATACGGGCTACAGAATGTATCTTTGCACTCTGCACCAGTGTTGGTTAAGTCTGGTCTTGAGTGAGTTCACACTCGGTGCCATCAAAACACACTGTAGTAGATTGTTCCAAGAGTTTACTATTCTCACTCCAAAAAAGTTTGCCCTGACCATATTCTGAACTTGTGGCTTCTTCAACCTTGAGCTGTGACCCCTAGAGGGGTGGGCGTCTGCCAGGTATGAACACTTGACTTAGTAATGCCCTTTGAGATGTTTATAAACTTCAATTAAGTCACCACCTTGCCTTCTTTTAGTATAAGCTAGGCAATTGCAGGCATTCTATTCTCTGGGTAACTGAGGTGCCATAGTGCAGGCACCAGCCTGGTGGCTCTTTTTAGGACATTTTCAATCAACTGACTGACTAGCATATCTTGGGGACCAGATGGGGTGACAGTACTCCAAAAGCACCTCACTCTTGAAGAGCATTACAAGGGACGGACCCTCTAGGTATCTGAACAACCTTCTTATAAGACCAACTAACTTAGTTGCATGATTCACTTTTTTCTCACAGTGGCCTGAGAACGTCAGTTCATTGTCAACATACACACCCAGGTCCTTTTCACATTCGGTCTCTGTTAATGAAGTATCTTCGTCCCATTGGGACATGTGATATGCTTTCTTATCACAAGTACAAAGGGACGAAGAAACAATTTTATGACCTTCAAACATCAACTCGGTGTCATTCAGTTCCTATTCCCTATTTGTCCTTCTCAGTTAAGTCACTCATTTTGCAGTAAGAAATATCATGGTCCTATATTGTCTTGCCAACAGCCATAACTAACTGACATTCCTCTTGCTGAAAGAAGAATTAAGATGTATCTTACTATTTCTGGAGGCTGTTTAGGCCTACTTGAAGCTGTTTTGGTCTTCATTTGGTCTACATTTAAAGTGCAAGCAGGTAAAGTTTACTTTCTTTACTTTATCCCCTTCACCACTTGATAGGTCACTAGGTGGTTGGGCAGTCGGTCTGTTCTCTGTCAAACACGGTTGGTAAGTACTATGCATGTACGGACTCTTGAATGTAGTATTGTACATTTATACTTGCACGGCAAAATGTCTGAAGATTTCATTCAATATCTATCTATCTATCTACTGTATCTATCTATCTATCTATCTACTGTATCTATCTATCTATCTATCAACTGTATCTATCTATCTTCTAAGATGACAAGTGCTGAAGAGGATAAAGTGTAAATCATACAGGGTAGGCAAGAAATAACTGACAGGATACACAGCAGCCTTAGTATAAACAATGTGTATGTCTACAGTATATATTTTGCACATGTATATGTTATGTATTTTTACTTTTTTACTTTTATTCTCCTCGTCACTGATTGGCTCTACATATTTATTTTATTTTCTAATGAATCTTTAAGGCCTCCATGTTAAACTGTACCAGGGTCTCCACAGTGTTTACTCCAGCACTGTCTTTTGTGCAATGTTCATTTCTCTGATTCTGCCTGTGTTACTGTGCTCCACCAATATAATTTCCTACCTTCCCCTTCTACATCCTTACCATGCAGTCAACTTCCCCCTGACCCTTGTGTTAAACTCTAACCTTCTCTTCGTTGTGCATGGCGACCGTCATGTTGTCCCGGCTGTCTTCGAACTCCTCTAGAGTCGCCTGCAGGATGATGTTTTCATCTACATGGGTCACTACCTCCAGCCGACACTCGGTCTGTGACGTAAAATACTAACATCAGTGCCGAGGAATTTGTCCACATACAGCAGCTTCACTGGACAACTACACAACACCTCCTGAGGACCAAACTATGGGTGTACATTATGTGTTACTTCTGGAGTGGTGACAGGAAATGAATGACTATATATGGGATTTAATAAGGTGATTGGTCACAACAGAAGCACTAGGATAGAGTCTCAGTCTTAATGGACCATAATCCTTAAGGCTAGACAAGGTATGGTTAGGTTGGGGGCCAATTAGGACCAGTCCATTTCATTAGCATCCTTTTAGTGAGTATTAATATACATACACTGACAGTATAGTTTAGAGTACAGTGCAGTGTATATGAATCACGTAAAGATTAGTTCCCCAACATATTTCACCTGATGATTAAACACCCTAATGCTAGGATGGTTAATCTAATGGTAAAATAAACTGTACTTGGATCACCTGAAGATTAGCTTCCAGTGTGTCTTAGTATGCCATGTTGAGAGAAGTTTATATATGCTGTAATGTGCAGCATAATTTACACAAATGGCAACTAATTACTTTCAAAAAGATATGATAACTTGTCCATACCTGTCTAGCCAACACTAACCACAGCACACAGAAACACTATAAAAAGTGGTGTAAAACATGGACTCTGGATACAAAAAGAAGAAGTAAATTAAAAAAAAAGAGGAATAGAAACAAGAGGAAATACAAGTGAAAGAAGAATGAGGAAGATATAAGATCTGGGTCACCTCAGGAGAGAGAGAGAGAGATATTGGTAAACGTGTGTGTAAGTTGAGAGATGGATGGGAAGAGGAACATAGAAGAAATAAGGAGATAAAAAGATTATAGCATAAGTGAGGGCGATGGACATTGAGGAAGCACTGTGTGTGTGTGTGTGTGTGTGTGTGTGTGAAAAAATATATATGTGTAAGTTACAATTATAAAGAAAATGATAAAAAAATAAAATGAGCTGGAAAAGAGGGTGGAGTTAGCAGAATGAGATGATGGGAAGGATGTGGACAGAGTGTAAGGCAGGTGGAGAGAGAGAGAGAGAGAGAGAGAGAGATATTGTGCAGGCAGGCCAGAGCATGGTACAGTATAAGCACCTTGGGCCGTGGGGCGTCCGGGCTACTTACTCGTCGGTCACGCTGCATGGAAGGTGTAGAGACATCATTATACTCACAGATCACTACTTAGCAACACAAGGGAGGGGCTGAGGCTAGGCTAGGCCAGGATCCACACTACTACACCACTCACCAACACATCCCAACCCCCATTAAAATTTCACAGGGAGGGAACGAACAAATGCCCCTTCAAACAGACACCCATGAAAACGTAAACAATACAGAGTGACATTAATACTCCAACATTACTGACAGATGGGGTAAAAATATTGTTTACAGCAAAGATATAGTTTCTGAGCACACTACTAATAATAACAGCAAAACAAATCTAAACTATCCCACACTCTCTCTTTTTTTTTAGTTACAGTACTAGGATGGGTTAGGAAGATATGGCTACAGTTGACTGGGACTGGGTTGCCATTAACTGTGCAATCATCAGGTCACTGTAGTTTTCGTCAAGGGCCACAATAAGTACTGGTACGTGGAGGCATCACAAGAGGGAACATGGGTTGAAGGATTCAGATGACACCAATTTAACTTAACATTAGGAACTGAGGGACTATGGAGGGATTCTCCGACCGACAAGTAAGGTGAACATTGTTATGGTGAGTCGGGAGTTGGTCAGGATATTGACTAGGCAATGTTTAAAAAACCCTCAGAACTCTTAACCCCTTTACTACGGGGACACGATTTTTAATATTTTATTTGGCTGATGCCGGATGATTTTATTCACCTCGGAAGGATCCTGTACAGAAGTGGTTAATAATAATAATAATAATAATAATAATAATAATAATAATAATAATAATAATAATACAATAATAATGATAATAATAATACCTGTAGTAATAATAATGATAATAATACTAATTATAATGAAGATAATGATAGAGATATTGATGATGTTATTGATAATGATTATAATAAAATAATAATGAAAATATTGATGATAATAATAATAATAATAATAATAATAATAATAATAATAATAATAATACAGGTTGTACCTCTCTAGTCTGGCAACCTCGGGACCTGACCGGTGCCGGACCATGGAAATTTCCGGACCATGGAAATTCACCCTTTTCCTGGATAGATAGTGACTTGTGCTTATGCTTGGAAGCACTAGCACCACTTTCTCTGCTTCATGGTCTCTTTAAAGACATATTGAAGGGTTAAATGTCGTACAGTAGCTTCTCAAATTTCGCGAGTTTTTAATTCGACGTTTTCTACTTGAACACACAAAAAAACAACACATTTAAAAATTTTGATGGAGGAAACTCGAATTTTGACGGGTTTGAACGGCCCACCAACGTTCAGACGACGTGCATAATCTGTAAACAGCGTCATTTCTCTTATGTACAAAAGATTCATTATTGTTTATTACTGAAAGTCTTTTTGATTAAATTAATGTTTGTGTGTGCAAAATGAGCAATACAATTCATTAATAATACATAGAATATTAAAACACGAGGAAATGAGACAGCATTGTTTTCGTTGATTACAAAACCAGTGACTGACTGGTTCTACATGTAAAACTGAAGAAAATAATACCTTGGTTGTAGCTGTAGTAAAATTAATATGGTTCTTTTAAGTAATGTTATTTAATGTTAATAAATGGAACAATAGAAGTAGCTAACGATAATGGTAAAGAAAAAAAGAGAGATCGCGTTTGTAAGTGCGCACACGTGAAAACATATCGTCATTACTTTACATAAGAATATGAAAGCAACACTTATTTACTGTTCATATATATTTTAATTAATGTTTCTGAATTTGTTTTTATTGAATTAATGTTTGTGTGTGCAAAATTAACAATACAATTTATTAATAATACGTGGAATATTAAAACACACGAGGAGACGAGACGGCTGCCGGCATTGTTTTTGTTAAAGCTTACAAAACCAGTGACTGATTGGTTCTACATATAAAACTGAAGAAAATAAGACCCTGATTGTAGCTGTAGTAAAATTAATGTAAAAAAATTAATATGGTTGTTTGAAGTACCTGTAATGTTATTTAATGTTAATAAATGGAACAATATAAGTAGCTAACCATTAATGGTAAAAAAAAAGTGAGACTGCGCGTATGTAAGTGCGCACATGTGAAAACATATCGTCATTACTCTACATAAGAATATGAAAGCAACACTTATTTACTGCTCATATATATTGAAGGGTTAAATGTTGTACTCTATATAGACAAGCAGAGAGAGAGGGCAGCCGAACTGCCGGATGTAAACAAACCTTAATTTCCCGCGGCTTTGTTGTTGTTTTTTTTTACGGGGATTAGCCCACCCGGGCATAGGTCACTGACCCACATTGGGGCCTGAGAGGCAAAAATTTAATACTCCTGTAATAATAATAATAATAATTCAGATAAGTCCTATTGGACAAACTAAAATCGTTCCGGACCACAGAATGCCGGACTAGAGAAGTACAACCTGTAATAATAATAATAATAATAATAATAATAATAACCTTTATAGATACAAGCGAGTTGACTTTACATGTAATGAAAGTTAAGTACTGTACCTAATACAGTCTTAACACTAGCTGTGACTGTTCTTGTCAAGTGGATAAAAATAATAATCCTGTGATATAGAAAACAAGAATCAGAAATTTCAGGTTTCATAACATTTAGACAACAGCTGGTTGTTTGTTTACAGTCGAAGAGATGGGATGCCCGATTCGCCAACCTCCGAAAGAGAAGCAAGAGAGTAAAGACTGAACAGGCTGCCTTCCTCTCGAACATAGCCAACCTGTGTACTGTAATAGTTTAGGTGGTGGGGAATCCATCAGAGGCTCTGGTTCTGGTTGTTCAACAGTGGCCTAAACCTTAAGACTTCACTTATTCTGAATCTGGCAAAATCCCCGAGCTTACACCGAGGTATTTTTGTTTACTCTAAGCTGCCGTCATTGTTGAGGAAATCCGGACATTTTGGAGGTGTAGTGAGGTGAGCAGTGGGATAGGCAGTGGCGGTGCTTCTAGGCTCTACCGACTTGTGCTCGCGGGAATGTTGTTAGCTTTGACTAGCTTGTGTAAAGCTGTCCTACAGTACAGTGATATATAGTTCTATCTCCCAGTAGCTATGAGGGACAACTCGGCCAAAATAAACCCATAATTGAGAATTCCTATGAGCCAAAAGTCAAAATATGAGTAACACTATATAGGAATGACAGTACATAGCTATTAACTCTAATTTGTTACACAGATATCATTAATACATAACTGAATATAGACACGGTAATTCAACTATTCTATTTGATAACTTTATAAATAAGCTTCTATTGAACATTTATTAAACTACTATTATCATTCAGCTAATTTTAAAACTCTGATGTCTAAATTGGCTAATAGGCAGTAACTATACTATTGTTTATAAAAAAAAACTATTTGAAAACTACAAAATTCCATAAAGCTATCATGACTACTGAACTATCTAACTAACTAACTACATTAATGAAAAAGCTGTCAAGAGAATAATGAAGTTTCCTGAAGGAGGAAGAGGAAAAGAGAATTAAAAGGAGAGAAGGAAAAGGAGGAACACCCTTATGGGAGGAGAGAAGGAATTGGAGGAGCATCCCTACAGAAAGAGAGAAAGAAGAGGAAGAACACCCTTAAAGGAAGAGGAGGAGGAGGAGAGAAATAAGACCAACACCCCCACCCTCCACAGCAGGAAAGAAGGAAGGAAGGAAGGAAGAGGAACATCCCAATAAGAGGAGTAAGAAAAGCACCACTACAGCATTGGAGAGAGAAAGAGAGAAACAAGTAGATCAGAGAGGAGTAGTAGGTAGTGGAGGAGGTGGAGCCCTTCAACACACCCCGTTCAGCTCGAGTGAGGACTCCCGCACCATGTCCCCAAGCTTGTTCATGGCATCGTTGACGAGGGAGCTCTTGGTGTAGGGCCGCAGCAGCAGTTCCTCTGCCTTGCTGTACCCGATGAATAAGAATATCCCCTCCTTCGTTAAGTTCGTATTGTAGCTGTCTGTGGGAACACGTACTGGGTTACTATCAAGGTCACAGTTATTTTCTCTCATACAATATATAATACAGTGCCTCTTTAATAAATTGAAATGGATAAAGTAATTTCACAATGATCTTTAACTGCCAATTCCAAATCTATTTGAAACTAATAATTAATAAATTAATAGTTATTTCTGAATCTATTTCAAACTAATCATATATTATCAATTCTAAATATATTCAAACTAATCATTAACTGCTAATTTGAAATATATTTCAGGGTATTCATTAATTGTTATTCTAGAATCTATTTCAACCCATTTTATTTAATATGAGAGATGAATTAGCACAGGGTAATACAACAGTGTTTCCTCTGAAGGGCAAAACCAGTGACAAGTGACCCACTGTATTGTATAGTTATGGCAAGCTTACCCAGTACAGTACACAGTGGATATGAAACATGGAGGTTCACAATTCATATGTGTCATACTCGTAACAGATGAGTTAATGAGAAGAACAGCTTTAGATTGAGCTTCAATAATGCTATACACTGATAGGACTGTACTGAAACATTATACTACACCCCTGTACATGGTTTTTGGAGGGCTCATGTTTTGCAAAGTTAAAAATCAGCTGATTCCAAGAAATAACTATTTATATCACAACTTTTTCTTAAAATGACCTAAGAAATGTGACATCTGTCTCTTATATCTTTAACAAAAATTGAGTTGCTCCATCAACCTGTATGAAGTGTGATCACTGTAGGCAAGTACACAAAATACTTAAGTAGAAAACAAGTGTAGTACTTCACATAAAAATCTATAACCATAACTAAACATTTCATATATCACAATAAGGTAATGGTATACTTTTGAAACCATTATCAAACTCTTTCCAATTAATAATGTTCAACCATCTGTTTGACCTAGAGGTAGTCTGGTAGGGGCCAGTACAGTCAATCAAGCTCCACCCACTTTTGGTTTCTTTCGTACAATTTGTAAAAGTTGACTGTGTTGGTAAATCTATGGCATTTTTTTACCTACTGTATACTGTTTTAAGGAATGGAAAAAAGGCAGTGAATTTGTCGACTTGATGTGACAACTTAGCCACAAACAACTAATCAACATTCATGAACTGTAATGGTTGCTAAGGAATCCAAAACTGGGTAGAGCTTAGTTGACAGGTCAACAAAGTGGAGTAAAATTAAGTGAGGCGGGTGTGAAGTGGCACTGTACTCACTCTGTGGAGGCCTGACACAGATGAAGGAGCCAGAGTAACAGAAACACTCCCCGCGGGAGGCCTGGTAAGCGGGAGCCGAGTGTGTGTACACAGCATATCCGGTCTCGCAGGGTCTGGCCTCTACACACTCGAGGACACTACATGCCAGCTTCTCTTCAGCATGACAGAGGCACAGCTCAGAACACTCCTGGTCCTTGTAGAAGCGCTTTCCTGACCCCTCCTCTATGAAGTCGACGGTGGAGGCACTGGGGTGGCTGGGGTCGACGTTGGTGTGCCGCTTCTCACAGTACTCTGGGGAGGGCAACACCATTTGTAATACAGTATGTAGTATATTATGTAGTGTGAAATTTGGGAATCTAGAATGATTACTGAAATAGGTAGCACAGTTTGGGAATTCCATAATATGGCACACATCCTGTATGTTACCACAGAAATCAAACTAGATTGGCTTGAGACTTTCTGTGCCTGAAATTACTGAAAACTAATGTAATTAACATGACCAATCGTATTCTGATGTGGTCACATAATAAAACAAATCAGGTTCAGGAAGATTCTATAAATGTGGCAATAATTCTTAAATCCCCCTTCCTCTATAGGTATCAGGGATGGTATGATTTAAATCAGCAATTTTTGACATGTTAAAGTGTCATAAAAGAATATTTTCAAATTACATAAATTTTTAACTCATTTTCAACCTTCATAATAATAAATCAATGACATAAATAGCAGCTGTGACTCAAATGAATGAATAGGAAAATATTTTGAATTAGCAACCAATTTTCTGCAGTGTTTTACCCTGTAATTTCCCTCATCTTTCCTGCCCTGCCCACTAAAGGTGACTGATGATAGTGGATAGAAAAAAAAAAAAATAGGGAAAAAGTTGATGTATTGTTTTATTAGTTACTATTGTATCACCCAAACAAATGTGGAACATATGAAGGAATTACCGTATATACTCGTGTATAGTTCGAGCTTTTAAGACCAAATTTTTAGGCAAAAAATTGGGGGTTGTCCTATACATGCGTAATAGTTTTGTTAGGTTGAACCCGTGCATGATGGGAAGGGCGAGGAGCAACTTTTAGCTTCAGACATGAAAAATATTTACCATTTACTGCCAGTAAACAATGGAAACGTAAAATATGTACCAATTAGTAATGAAAAGTTGTGCAGTTCCTTCAGTAAATGAAGCTCACCAACTTACAATAGGCTAAATTACCTTACAACGTGTTTTCAGTAGTCTATGTTGGAGTTCTTAGCACAGGCTAACTTATCATATCATATACGGTATCACAGTTCTCATTGATCTACAAAAAATATCGGTATTAAAAACCTTTTCGATATTTCACACTTAATATAACACCCGGTAATCTACTTCAACCTCCTATTGTTTACAACGACGCATGACGCATCACGCACCACCAGCTGTATCAGCTAGACGGTACACGTGTTTTTCGAATCGTTTTCAGTTAAAAAACTGTTACATCACACGTATATTTCACCTAAACTGCGCCTGAATGAATATATTCTCGGAAATAAATAGTGGTTTTGCTGAAACGTGATGTATTTGAATGTAAAATAGGATAAAATACATGACGAAAACTATTTTACCTAACCTTCCGATGCTCAAGAGAAGTTACTCGTTTTTTTAATAGTTTTTGTTAAAATATTGTTATATTACAATGGTATTCTATTCATACTGTGCTTGATATAATGCATTCACGGAAATGTAATATTTTTGCTGAAATGACGTACGTATTACAGTGGAAAGTGGGATAAAATCGTGATGAAAGCAACGACTATCGCTTTCTTTTGTTCAAAAGATGTTACCATAATCACTTTTCGAATGGTTTTCAGTTAAAAAACTGTTGTATTACGATAATATTCTATCCTAATTGACTTGAATAAATACTACGATACCATATTTCTGAATATTTTCATTAAAATCCATCAAAATCATTTTCCTTGTCATCGTCTGCAGCACCAAACAGCTTCTCCCAGTCCTCTCCTTGAACAGGGCTACAGGGTACGTGTTTTTCGAGTCGTTTTCAGTTAAAGACTATTACATCACTGGTATATTTTACCTAAACTGCGCCTGAATGAATATATTCTCGGAAATAAATAGTGGTTTTGCTGAAACGTGATGTATTTCAATGTAAAATAGGATAAAATACATGACGAAAACAAAAGACTTTACCTAAGCTTCTGTTCTTGAGATGTTACTCGTTTTTTAATAGTTTTCGGTTAAAATTCTGTTATATTACAATGATATTCTATTCATACTGTGCTTGATATAATACATTCACGGAAATGTAATATTTTTGCTGAAATTACGTGCGTATTACAATGGAAAGTGGGATAAAATCGTGACGAAAGCAATGACTTTCGCTTTCTTTTGTTCAAAAGATGTTACCGTAATCGCTTTTCGAATGGTTTAGTTAAAAAACTGTTGTATTACAATAATGTTCCCTCCTAATTGACTTGAATAAATACTTGAATGGAAATATACAATATTTTTGTTGAAACTTCCCGCATTTCAGTGTAAAGTGTCATAATAATAAATGGTAAACAATTTGCCTTCGGCACTCGTGTTTCATGCACGGCGAGCCTCAGTTTATAGGACGTAGAGCGTTTTTAGTGAAGGTTTTGTTGTTCCATTACCCTCAAAAACGTGGGTCGAACTATAAACGAGGAATATTGTAAATTAACGATTTCTTGGTCAAAAAATCAGGGTCGACCTATAAACGAGGGGGGGTTATAGACGAGTATATACGGTATATAAATGCCTTCTGATGCTAACTGTTTGCTCCACTATTACCCTAAATATTAAAAATTTTCTGTCCCAAATGAGGCCTTTTTGAAGATTTTGTTGCCTATCAGTACTGTAAATCATTCAATCAGAGTACAGCATCGTCCTCATATCCGAGGGTTGGCAACAACAATCATCCACTCTTAAATGTTCTTGGGCTGTTTTTACTTTCATCCAGTCTCAGCCTTCCCCTCAACTTTGCCCATTAATATTTCTGTTATTATCTCCTCATCCCTATTTATATGACTAAAGTAGCACAGTTTTCTTATTCTCAACATTTTAGTAATCTTGGAGCAGATGACTAACACAAGAACACATTGTTTGATTTTGTTAATTTTTTCAAGAGAGATTTTTGGATGATACAGGTTGTACCTGTCTAGTCCGGCAACCTCGGGACCTGACCGGTGCCGGACCATGGAAATTTCCGGACCATGGAAATTCACCCTTTTCCTGGGTAGATAGTGACTTGTGCTTATGCTTGGAAGCACTAGCACCACTTTCTCTGCTTCATGGTCTCTTTGAAGACATACTGAAGGGTTAAATGTCGTACAGTAGCTTCTCAAATTTCGCAAGATTTTAATTCAACGTTTTTTATTGGAACACACACACAAAAAGCAAAACAATTAAAAATTTTGACGGCGGAAACTCGAATTTCGACGGGTTTGAACGGCTCACCAATGTTCAGACGTGCACAATCGTGTAAACAGCGTCATTTCTCTTATGTACAAAGGATTCATTATTGTTTATTACTGAATGTCTTTTTGATTGAATTAATGTTTGTGTGTGCAGAATGAGCAATACAATTCATTAATAATACGTAGAATATTAAAACACACGAGGAGACGAGACGGCTTTGTTTTCGTTGTTTACAAAACCAATGACTGACTGGTTCTACATATAAAACTGAAGAAATTAAGACCCTGGTTGTAGCTGTAGTAAAATTAAATGGTTGTTTTAAGTAATGTTATTTAATGTTAATAAATGGAACAATAGAAGTAGCTAACGATAATGGTAAAGAAAAAAAAAGAGAGATCGCGTTTGTAAGTGCGCACATGTGAAAACATATCGTCATTACTCTACATAAGAATATGAAAGCAACACTTATTTACTGCTCATATATATTGAAGGGTTAAATGTTGTACTCTGTATAGACAAGCAGAGAGAGAGAGAGCAGCCGAACTGCCGGATGTAAACAAACCTTAATTTCCCGCGGCTTTGTTGTTTTTTTTTACGGGGAATAGCCCACCCAGGCACAGGTTATCGACCACCCACAACGAGGACTAGGGGGCTTTTTGAAGTGAGACAGTTTGTATGAGTATGGAAACACAGAAGAAGGCAGAACATTCCACAGTTTGGCTGTGTGAGGAAAGAAGGATGTACAGCGAGTTCTGCTATAATGCGTGTTTTGACAACGCGAATTGGCTCAAACGCGATTTATGAATAGAGGAACGATATTTGTATAACGCGAACGCTTGTTTGCTGTAACTCGATTTTTGCTTACTATTTCTCCAATTTTGTGGTATTAACTGTGAATATGGTAATGAAGAATATCTCCAAGAAGCGTTCTGGTGATCGCATTCCCGGTGATGATCGTAAAAGAAAGGCTATAACCCTTGAAGAGAAGCTCGTTGTTATCAACCTCAAAATCACCCTTCTCCCCCATCAAGTTACTGTATATTCATATTTTTTCAAGGTAAAGTGTTACATTTACTGTATGATTTCATTATTAGATATGAATGTAACATTTATTTAGACTGTGCTATCCTTTGTGTTAGGCTAACTACTAAATTTTTTTCGATTTTGAGTAGTAATCTGCACCTAACCCTATTTTCTCCATAAGCCTTGTTATTTCTATTACGTGAATTTCTATAACAAGATGCTTTACAAGAACACAACTATCGCGTTATAGCAGAACTGACTGTACTATAACGGGTTATTCTAGTGTGACCGACATCCACAGTGAAACGGTGGGTAACGCGGGCAAGACAAGTGTTACGAGCTCAAGGCCTTGCCGGCGGTACACAGGATGCCAAATCCACCGAACATTGCCTGTTAAAGTACCTGTAAAGGAGAGAGAGAGTGAAGCAACATTGTGGCGAAGAGAAAGAGAAGAAAGATTATCAACTAAAGGAGGAGAATCAATAAGACAAAATGCCTTTGATTCCACCCTATCTAACAGTTAGACAGAAGAGCCACCCCAGATATAAGAGCAGTACTCCAAGTTTTTGGGAAGTAGCTTTAGCAATGTTGTGGATGTGTGACTTCCATGACATATTAAGAGGAAATGGTGAGGCCTAGCATATCTCCAGGTATTTTAGAACTTGGCAGAATGATTGCATCCTGAAATGTGATTAGTGGGATATCATCTAATTTGGAAAGTGTAATTGGTAAATACAATTCTGAGTTTTATTACTATTAGATTTAACCAGGTTTCTACCTCCCCATTTGGAGATGCTGCACAGATTCGCATTGATAGATGAAATGATATGAGCTCTAGAATTAGGGGGGAAGGGAAAAATGTGAAGAAAAGTGAAGAGTAGAATCATCAGCTGAAGAATGGATAGAATTAGTTGTAGTGTGAAGTGAATCATTGATAAAAAGAAGGAAGAAAGTAGATGAAAGAACAGAACCCTGTGGGACACCACTATTGATAAAGAAAGAGCGAGAGATCGATCCCTCGACAACAACTGCCAAAGAACAAAGTGGGGGAGAGAAACCATAAGTGGGAAGTTTAGAAAGCAAAGACTTGTGCCATACCCTGTCAAATAATTAGGAGGTGTCGAGGGCCATGATGAAAGTTCCCCCATAATCCCTAAGAGAGGATGACCAAAGATAGGTGCAGTAGGAGAGCAGATCACCAGTAGATCTTGCCTGGCAAAAGCCAGACTGGTTATCCAACAAAAGAGAAAAGAGTTCAAGGTGACGGAGAAAATGAGAGTTTAAGATTGTTTAAAAAATCTTAGAGAGGGATGAAGTTAGGGCAATGGGGCGATAGTTAGAGGGATTAGATATTATGATATATTCTGAGGTCAATAGTAATTTTTACTATACAAAAATGCCTGAGTACAATACAGGGTACTGCATTAAAGAAAAAGTACTGAAATTTTCTGATGAAAAGGGGGGGGGGGGCTGGATCCCCAGGACCTACCGTAGTTGGCGGACCACCCAGCATATTTAACAGAGGGAACTTACAGTACGATATGGTGTAATTTTACGTATTTTGTGGATGAGAGAGAAGCCGCTTAGACCGAGCGGCTCGTAAACAAACAATGAGCGTAGAATAACATAAAGCATGGATCTGGCTGCTGTACCATTTTATTGCCATAAAAGACGAAGTAGTGCAATTTGTGTGAGCCTAGGGGCCTAATTATCTACCAAACAAAGTATTTGCCCAAAAAAAGAATACACTCCTGTATATCTGAATTCAATGATGAAAATATAGTAAGAAATGATCCATTAAAATGAATTATGTTGAGATGGGCATATCATCAATATTAGCCAACCTAAACTAACCGAACCTAACCTAACCTTAAGTAGGTTTCTTTGGTTAGGTTGGTGCAGTTTTCTAACAACGCTTTGGCAGCTCGGGTTTCTTAACTAAGGTTAGGTTTGGTTTCATTTAGAAATAACTTCATTTTAACACATTAGCCCAAACTACGACAGTGTCCACTGCAATACAAAGTGAAATTGCGGCATTTTAAAATTGATTTTATCTGAAAACTCGGCAATGGACATGTTATCAATAATTACTGATTAGTTTTTCACCGTGTTTTACTCCACAATTTCCCTCATCCTTCATGCCCTGCCCATTACAGGCGATTATGATTGTAGAAAGAGAAAAACTAAAAACAAATTACTTTAAGATAATAAGTTGCCATGGCTTTTATTACAGTTATTTACTTACTGCTCCAGTATTACCTACATTTCAATCATATATAGATATGGGCAGCCAGAGTTGAGAACACTTGATGCAGCAGCGGTACTTGACGCCACACAACACACTCAGGTAGGACAACAACCTGTACCAGTGCAGCAAAACAACAATTTCTGATCAACACATTACCTTCCTTTATACGGATTTACACACCCAAAATTACCGCTATTTCTTCGCAGAGTCCTTCATCCGTGACCTAATATGATATAGTGTCCGTATTACTGACGACCGTTAATTAAAAAAAATATTTTAAAGGTCAAGGCGATATATCCACCTGTACCGCTGGTCGACGGCACCTGTTACGGCGGCTCGAAAGAGAGAACACAAGGTAACCCTATACACATAACCCAAATGGAAATATTAATAATTTAGATTTATTTTCATAATGACACTATAGAAATGAATTACAGACGTATACCATTACAGATTACTAAACTGCCAATTAAAAACAAAACAAAACAGCAATTATGAAGGATCATCAAGTCTCTCCTAGACATAACACGACTCTTTAAACCAGTCCGGATTCCCACAATGGTGATTGCCATTTTTTTCCATCCAGTTTCTTATTCTTCACAATATTTAGCTGGCTGATATACGTTCTACTTTGGAAATTGAGTGAGGTAGAACAAGCATAGGTATTGCAAATGCTACCAACTCCTAAATAGATTAGAATGAAGTGAATCTTGGTACTTACCTGCATGCACTTCCCCTGAGCGATTTTCTTGATCCTTAGAATGTACTTTATGATGCAAAACTTCAACTTCTTTTTCAAACTCATAAGCCATCCCACTGAGTGATGTTTTAAACCACATTCCCTCTCACCTCCACGATTCTCAAGTAGATGATTATTCATTTACTGTACTAACAAAGGTGACCAAGGAGTTTTGTCCGACACTGTTGATAATAGTGTGGCTCCGTATACTCGGCCACGTGGATTCTGGACAAAATCAATAAATACGATCTTCTGAAGAAAATTATGTATATGTGAATTTTGTCCTGGTGAATGTATCTAGTTAAGGTAGATCCTCAGCCGCAGAATGGTGGTAATAGTGACATATGACAGTGATGATAGTAATGGTAGTACTTACTCGGCGGCAGGGTGGTGGTAGGGAGGGTGGTAGTGGTTGTCGTAGTGGGCGCCATGGTTGGGGGCGATACGCCGACGTTCCATTTAGGATGTGTTGGGCCAGGGAAGTAAGAACTGGAGGTGGTGGCTGTGGGGTAGATGACCGGGGGCCACTTCTGGACAGGTTCGCTGACAATACCCGTCGTCACGCTGGGAGTAAACACTATACTCGAAGAGGTTGTCATCTCCTCACCGGGGTTAAGTGCTGCCAACATTTCCCGGTGGTAATCCGTCTGTGATTCAACTGTTAAAAAGATTACCCTCGTTTAGATAATCTATGGTGTACACAGGCTATAACACACACACACACACACATGTACACCCAGAACTATACCAAAAAAAATGAATTAAGGTGTTCGTTCGTGTACGTAACAGCTATTATCATCGTTTAGCACCTCAACCCCCCCGACCCTGACACGGACCCTGACACCCAACCCCACCCCCGGACCTGACACCAACCCCACCCCGACCCTGACCCTCAACCCCACCCCCGACCCTGACACTCAACCCCACCCCCGGACCCTGACACATCAACCCCACCCCCCGACCCTGACACACTCAACCCCACCCTGGACCCACACTTCAACCCCACCCCCCCCCTGACCCTGACACCTCAACCCCACCTTCCCGGACCCTGACACTCAACCCCACCCCGACCCTGACACATCAACCCCCCCCCTGACCCTGACACATCAACCCCCCCGACCCTGACACCAACCCCACCCCCCGGACCCTGACACATCAACCCCCCCCGGACCCTGGACCCTCAGACACCTCAACCCCACCCCCCGGACCCTGACACATCAACCCCACCCCCCGACCCTGACACATCAACACTTCCATTTAGCAATCAAGGTACACCGTCTATTAGCAACCTTTCCCGTCTCGCTCACGACTGTCACCCCAGCTGCCGGGTTAACTGACATGGTGATACTCAGCTTCATCTGTTATGGACGACAAGGGGCTGCCTCCACGTCCCCCAGCTGCGACGTCTGCAAGAGGGGGTAGGAGGAGGTGGGGAGGCGAGGGGGGGGGTGAGTCTCACGCTCAAGTTACGTGGATTGTTGGGTAGCTGTGGAGAGGGAGGGGGGGCGGTCTGTGTCGTTGGTTCAATGTGCCCCAAGTCCTAACAGGCCCTAATCTTATCATCAAAGTAGGCCCTAGTCCTAATGGGGTCAAAAGGTAGTAGCATCTAACACTCCTATCCTACTGGTTGGGGCCTATTAGCTCTAGGGTCCAGATAATGATTAGGTTGGGTTCCATCTGATCCACCTGAAGCAGAAAGACCACAACTGAAGTAAACAAACAGGACTCCTCTCCCCGTGTGTGTGTTCCTCTCTGTCGGTCTGGGTAAAACTTTTGTAAACTACTCTGAGGAGGAACAGCCGTGAGCGAGAACAAGTTAATTACCTTCCATTAAGACCAACCCCTTCCTCCTACACCACTACCAACCTTCCTCCTCCTCCTCCTCTTCCTACACCACTACCAAACCTTCCTCCTCCTCTTCCTACACCACTACCAACCTTCCTCCTCCTCCCTACCCTACTTCCTACACCACTACCAACCTTCCTCCTCCTCTTCCTACACCACTACCAACCTTCCTCCTCCTCCTCCTCTTCCTATACCACTACCAACCTTCTTCCTCCTCCTCCTCTTCCTACACCATCACCAACCCTCCTCCTCCTTCTCTACAACACACCGCCACCAGCCACACTGAAGGAGTCACCAATACCAGCAAGATGTATCTCAAGGAGCCAGTAAGACGCTGACTGACACAGGTGTGGCGGGGTACTGACCTACACAAGGGTTGAACCACAAGATACGCTGCCAGTCCATGCAGACGTAAGCCTCCCGGGGGTCGGAGGTGGCGCAGGTGCACAGGTTGCGCAGCTGTGTGCCCAGGATGCCCAGTACTGCGCGGCGACACTCAGCGGTAGAGCCTGCGCAGCGCCGCGTGTCACTGTCTACTGCGCACGCCTGCTCGTAGAACTCGAGGCGGTGTCTGTAGGAGGGAGGTGTGGTGATGGTGACAGTGATGGTAAGGGATAGTGACAATGGTGAGGTAGTGATGGTGAGGTGGTGATGGTGACAGGCTGGTGAAGTGGTGAGGTATGAATCCTCCTTCTAACGAACAAGAGATTAAAGTCCGTTTTATGGAGGTTTCAGTGTAATGAATAAAATAAATAAATATATAAATACCAGATCAACAAACTTTTTTAAATCTATAAAAGGTTTGGGGAAGTATTAACAAATGCGGTACAACATAAATCCTTTCCCAACTTTGGAGAAAATATGTAAGAGTATACAAACAATTTTCCAGTCAAGGAAGATGGCAACTCACGATATATAGTGTTGTGACCTTGACCTTTGACCTCCTGACACCAAAGAACATACACCAGCTATTGAGGTCATTATAGTGACTATACACACCAAGATTGAATACTGTAGCTCTTACCATTCACTAGTTATGATGATGACCCAGTAGTGATCATGACCTTTTACCTGTTGACCCCCCAAACCAATCACTTCTGGGGATCATTATGAAGAATATACACACCAAGATGGAATACTGTAGCTCTCGCTGTTCTTGTGTCATAATAGACAGTGTTAGTTGGTGAGAGATGGACTGCACTGGTCGCCCTACACACGCGTTTGTCTCACTCTCAGGATGTTACATTAAAGGGATTCAGGGGAAGTCAATTTTGATAAATGAAAATTAAATATTTATCTATCTATCGATTTATTTATTTTTCTGTCAATTTGTCTATCTAAAAAAGTGAGGGACTTTTTGTTTTCTTCTTCCTCACTTAATACCTACAGATGTTGACCTGTCTTCCTCCTCACTTACCTACAGCCGTTGTCCTCCTTACAGGCGGCGGCCAGTCTGTTACACAACATAGGTACCGGACCAGCGGGCTTCCTGGCACAAGAAGGGTGGAGCTTTTCCTGCGCCGTCAAGCATTCGTTGGCTGTTTTGCTGCTCTTCCTGTGGGTAATAATGTGTGGTTAGGTTATGGTTATGGTTGGGTTTGGTTAAGGTTATGGTTGGGTTTGGTTATGGTTGGGTTGGGTTTGGTTAGGTTAGGTTAGGTTGGGTTGGGTTGGGTTGATTTATCTGAGGTACAGAGTTGGGTTGACTGAATATGCATATACACATAGAATTCTGTTTGGTCCATACATACTAGTGTAAACACAAACAAACACAGTGGCACGAAAACTAGACATGATTCTACACACACACACACACACACACACACACATACGGAGAAAATAACTCACTTGCAGAGACAGAAGGCCACCTCCAGCGCCCACTTAGACTCGACATTCCTGTAGAAGGTTTGCAAGTTGCTCATACACGCCTCCCTGTTGCAATCGTTGTCACACATGGCCAACACGGGGTCGAGTAGCCTTCTGCAGGTGGGCTCCGTGGTACAGCCAGTGAGCGCCGTCTGGCAGGTGGAGTGTAGCACCGGGACTGGGTCAGATGGTGACGCCGTGTGACCTGCAGGTAGCGGGGGTGAGGGGGCCAAGGTCAGGTCAGGAGATTGTGGTGGTGGTGTAGAGGATGGTTGGTGACCTGACAGTAGCAGGTTTTATTAAGTGTGGTGGTAGTTGTGGTAGGAGGGGTCGTCCCAACAATGAACCAACGTAAAAGCGGCAATATGACCGGTAGTTGTGGTGGTAGCAGCAGCAGTTGGGGTGTGTGACAGGTACCCAGCTAGCAAGGTAGGGAGAGGTAGTGGTTGATTGATTGATTGATTGATTGGTTGGTTTTGGGGCTGGTTGATTGGTTGGTCCTACAACAACAAGAACAACCATCCATTAATTGGTTGGTTGATTACTGCAAGGTCATTACGCTGTGGGCAGGACAAGGGGACAGTATGGACGGTAAAATATCCCGTCTAATCCCTCATCACCAAGAAAAAACTAAACCATCTGACTCACAAAACACATTTACATAATTATTATATACCATCTCACTCAATTATGCAGATTATCACAAAAAAAACTACTTTACCTAATACAAAAAAATCATCAAAACAAGCCAAAAATATGTCATTATGAACCATGCTTGAGGGTGAGGAGTATGTCTCGTCCCTCGTAAACAAACAAGTGACCGCCCCTATGTTATAGGAGGCCAGCGTACGACCAGGTGCAGTGATAACAAAATAGAAATCAAATTAAAAAAAGTAAAAAATTTAGACAATATAGATTTGTTGTGGTGAGAGGTTATGCAAAGGTGGTGGTGGTGGTGGTGGTGGTGAAGCTCTGCAGTGACTGAGTGACGCCTGTCACTGACTCGCCCTACCTGCCCTGCTGGGTCCTGAAGCAACACCACCTCCTCCTCCTCCTGCCACTCCTGCTGTCGCTACTGCTACTTCTGCTGCTGTTGACATGACTGCTGAAGATGAGCTGCCTTCTGCTTCTGATGGTGACAGTGAAGAGTGTTGCTACTGACGGCTGTTATGGTGATGATGGTGGTGATGGTGACAATGAAGGGTTGTTACTGACGGCGGTCATAGTGATGATGGTGGTGATGGTGAAGTGTTGCTACGGCTGTTATGGTGATGATGGTGGTGATGGTGAAGTGTTGCTACTGACGGCTGTCATGGTGATGATGGTGGTGATGGTGACAATGAAGGGTTGTTACTGACGGCGGTCATAGTGATGATGGTGGTGATGACTGCTGACGGCTGTTATGGTGATGATGGTGGTGATGGTGAAGTGTTGCTACTGACGGCTGTCATGGTGATGATGGTGATGAATATGGTACTACTGACTGACGGCTGTCAATGATATGGTGACAATGGTGATAATGATAGATAGACAATGTAGTGGCGTCATAGTGATGATGGTGATGAATATTACTACTGACGACTGTCAATGATAGTGATGGTGATAGCAATGATTATAATGATAATGATTATAATGATGATGATAATTAACGATGAAGACTTTTGTAATAATGATAAAAGAAACATTTTAAGTTTTAAGTCATTGTAGGGATAATGACTAATCAGAGACCAGTATGATAGCAATGACCAATCAGAGACCAGTACGACTTTTGGATGGGGAGACTTCGCTGAGATTGGACGTCCGGTACGATAACTGCCACGTCCAATGGTTCTCATTCCTAATTGGTCCAAACCTGGTCTGATTTTCGTACATCTGGCAGGGAGTAGAGAAACTGTCGTACATCTGGCAGTCAAACAGGCATCTGTCTTAGCGGGCCCCAGTTCTGATGGTTAGGTTAAACTGGGGCCCATTAGAACTGGGGTCCATTTAACCTACAGCTATAATAAAAAAGACAATGACTAGTCATATTTTCTACCAATCACACTGTTCTATTTACCAATCAGATCTTCCTCTTTACCAATCAGTCATTCTAAGAGTGGGAAAAATCGGCCCAAAAATCTGAATGAAATTTTAAGTTCTATTACAGCCTAAACTTGATATTTATTAAGTAATGTAAATTAGTTGAATCGGCTGTGTGTGTGTGTGTGTGTGTGTGTGTGTGTGTGTGATAATTCGTATAACTTGCTTTTACAAAAAAACAACAGCAACAACAACAACAACAACACCAGCAATAATAGTAATAATAATAATAATAATAATAATAATAATAACACTACTACTACTACTACTACTACTACTACTACTACTTTTGGTCGTAGGTTTAGTGTGTTATAGTAAGTCAAGAGACAGGGACAGTCTTACATCTTCACCTACTCGTTTATGAGACACTATCAAGCATACAATTTATCAACACTAAACTGGCAATTTCTTAGGAATCCAATTTTCACATTTCCAGGGTATCTTTGTGGGCGTGTGTGCGTGTGTGTGTGTGCGTGTGTGTGCGTGTGTGTGTGTGTGTGCGTGTGTGTGTGTGTGTGTGTGTGTGTGCGTGTGTGTGTTTGTTGTAACTCCTTCATACACGGAAACAAATACCCCCAACCACACACACACACACACACACACGCGTGCGGAACTACATGACCCTCAATTGACCCTCACATGACCTCGTGAACCAGGTCAAGGTCACTAAACTCATAACTCGTCCTGGGGATCGATCAGGTGATGTCTTGTCATGAACGTGTTGAGGTCACGTTGAGGCCTTCACGAGCTTACCTTCATGTCAGGTGTACATAACATACAGAGACACACACAGACGATAAAAGTGTCAACATTACTGATTATCCTCCGCCACGCCACACAGTAATCCAGAAGGTCACGACGAACACGATTGATCACTCATTAACTAACCTTAAGACACAACTTAAAGCATAACATATTAGTAAGATTAATCCCTCACCCGCCCTGTAGATAGTTCACACGAGGGCATCTAGGAAGGCCCATCACATTTCAATTAAAAACTCCTTTCTGAAGAACCTCCGTCTATCGAAGCTCACTCACTCCTCGGTCTAGTAGCACTGTGTGGACCTCCCTACCAGTTCAAATCCCCCTGTTCCAAATGTCTTCAGTCACTGGCGTAGGTGAGGGGTGGGGACGTCTTGGTGAAGTGATCTGAACATACCAATTGATTGATCTTTCTCTGTACATGTTTCTGAAGAGTGTGCAGCGGCTGAGTGGATACAACGCTCTACCTCACTTCCTCCTTGTGTACAGATTAATGAGTCTACAGCGTATTGAATCCCCACTCACCCCAATGGAACGTCAGGCGTCTGGGACCTACTCTAACTAACCTAACCTAACCATTAAGATTGGGGGCTAATTCAAATGAGCTCAGTTCCATTGAGGCCCAATCCTATTCTTAAAGCTACTTTGGGGAATGTCTGATGTGGGTAGTTACTATCCAATCTCTAACCAGTTACATTCCAATCTATCTCCAGTTACTATACCAATCTCTAGCCAGTTACCAAGCCAGTCTATGACCACTCGGTGACTGTGGTATAGCTCAGTCATGCCCCACAAAGAAAAAGAGGAGGAACGACGTTGTGAAAACGGATCAGCTGGTTGAGGTGTGAACACAAAGCGATTCACTTACTGTTTCGCTCCACCAGTAGAATAGCGACGTGGAATCATTCTTTTGGCTTTCATCTACTTTCAATTTATATTCCTTTAGGATATTTTACCATTAAGAATAAAAGAAATAATATAAAAAAATAGATAAATATATAGATTGACTGAATTTACTATACCTATACTAGTGAGTTGATTAAAAACTCATAATAAAAAAAAGACTGATAGACTAAATTTAATATATATATATCCTTAAAATATAGACGGATAGAGATATAATAGAACAGAATAGATTAATAGACAAATAAATAATGAATTAATAATCTATCTCTGCAATGATTCAAAACTCTGAGCTGTGAACACTGGAGCGAATCAGTTAGTTCCGAAGCAGTAAGTGAATATTAACTGGAACTGACTCAAACATTTGTATTCATTTAAGAGCCGAACGATTATGATCTTTTTGTTGTTTTAGAAGAGAATAAAATTTATAATGTTATATTTATATGTAGTGATGGATGAATGATGTGATTAGTGAATATATTATAAGAGTTTCAATTGATGTTTAGGTTGACTAATTGAACACTGGCTAGATCTATTGTCTATTTATGGTCTATTTGCTACAACACAACAACAAGATGACCCAGAAACACTACAACACAACAACAAGATGACCCAGAAACACTACAACACAACACCTTCGGTAATACATTGATTCACTTATACACATTCATACAATTTATACACGTATACATAATTTCCTTTCATATACAGTACACAGAGAAAATAATTTTCAGAAATAATAATTACCCAGATAATGTTTCCCTCTCTGTATATTTCACTAAAGACTCGAAAAAAACCTAAGATATTTTTCGATTTTTTGACCAACCGAATTACGAAATATAAAACGCTTAGCCCTCAGACCACAGCAGCACAACACAGCACAACACAGCACGACACAGCACAACACAGTTTCATGGTAACACAGCATAACACATCTTTATGGCAGTAACTAAGATCATTATTATCAGAAACCTGCAAATAAAATATCAAGTTCAAAATACGAAGTCGCTTATAAGTTATTGAATGGAGAATATATTTAATTTAGACAGACAAAGTTACCCCATGAAATATTTATTTTCTGTGACGGAAATAAAATAAAACGGTATGGTAGACTGATATATTTTAAAGATAATTGTACGCCATTTATGATTACACATTAACAATAGGTTGGTCTTATGATTTAACGTGTGTGTGTGTGTGTGTGTGTGTGTGTGTGTGTGTGTGTGTGTTATAAGTCAGTCAGATACAGAGCTGCTGTCCCACGTACAAACAATACTTTTTTTTCCCATTATACGTGAGATTCATGATAATATAATGATGACGATGATGATGATGATGATGATGAAGATGCGAAAATGGTCATACTATGAGAGATGGTCGTACTATGAGAGATGGTGTATATGAGAGATGGTCGTACTATGAGAGATGGTGTATATGAGAGATGGTCGTACTATGAGAGATGGTCGTACTGTGAAGATGGTCATATGATCGTGTATGGTCGTATTATGAGATGGTCGTACTGTGGTCGTATTATGAGATGATATGGTCGTACTATGAGAGATGGTCGTATTATGAGAGATGGTCGTATATGAGAGATGGTCGTACGAGAGATGGTCGTACTATGAGAGATGGTCGTATTATGAGAGATGGTCGTACTATGAGAGATGGTCGTACTATGAGAGATGGTGTATATGAGAGATGGTCGTACTATGAGAGATGGTGTATATGAGAGATGGTCGTACTATGAGAGATGGTCGTACTGTGAAAGATGGTCGTACTATGCTTGATATTTAATATAGGTAAATTATGCCACGATGAGGAGAGTGAGTAGACAATCTAGGAGAGTCTCAGACAGCCCGGGTCAGTCTTAGAAAGTCTAGGGCAGTCTTAAGACAGTCATAGACCGTCTATATCAATCGTAGACAGTGTTAGACTTAAATGAGAGCTTAATTAGAACAATTATCAAGTTTATTTATTTTGTAAGTAAAAGTTCGAAACAACAAAACACCTCTGAAGTAATTGTAAATATTTATCACAGGTCTGTTTATTTCTGTGGGTGGGTGGGGGAGGGGTGACCTGTAACCTGTAACATGAAGAGTAATTAAAAACACAATTTCTCTTTAATTTTCCTTTCTTTTTTTATTTTATGGAAGGGAAGGTATATAAAAAAAGAAGAGCTTTTTTGGGGGGGAGGGAAGTTTAGAGAAATTTACTTAAAAATAAAACGCAGGGGAAGAGAGAGATCGTGATAAATTAAAACCCAGAGCCGAGAAGCAGACGAAACAAGATGTTACCAAAAAGAGTTTTTCTATAGAATGACGGAAATAGAGGCAGAAGGAGAGAGAATTACAGATAAACACACACACACACACACACAAACATAATAAAAGAATTAAAAACAAACAAACAAACAGACAGACAGACAAATTAGATGTTAATATTATATCAGTCAAATAACACGAACATAAAAACTGCCTCCGCTGCTTGTGTGGGGAGGTCAGGGGGGTGAGGGGGGGGCGTGTCACATAAACGGGTTTCTCTGTGACCTTTACTGATCTGATCTGACCTGATAGTGACCTTTAGACTGGTAATGCACACCTTGATAATTAACTAACACACCTTGGTAATTAACTAACACACCTTGGTAATTAGCTAACACACCTTGGTAATTAACTAACACACCTTGGTAATTAACTAACACACCTTGGTAATTAACTAACACACCTTGGTAATTAACTAACACACCTTGGTAATTAGCTAACACACCTTGGTAATTAGCTAACACACCTTGGTAATTAACTAACACACCTTGGTAATTAGCTAACACACCTTGGTAATTAGCTAACACACCTTGGTAATTAACTAACACACCTTGGTAATTAACTAACACACCTTGGTAATTAGCTAACACACCTTATCTATCTCTTCCCATCTGTCTCAATATATATAATTACCAGCATGTAACTAATCCTAGCTAATTCACAAGACCTCTGATGATTGGTTAGCGAAGAAAACACTATAACAACCATTACTTTGATGTTTAACGAGGCAATAATAACCTAATTGACATAGAGGTCAATTTTGGTGATCAGGTCAATCAACAGGTCAGATCAGGTGCAGCAAAACAGACCAGAGGAATACGACTTTTTAATATATATATATTTTTTTTCTTCTCCTTTTTAATCATTTCATAAACACACAAATGTCGAGCAGGTTTAGTAGGGAGGTGTAAACTACTCTATATATACTCAGTCAATTATATATATATATATATATATATATATATATATATATATATATATATATATATATATATATATATATATATATAAACAGCAAGTGATACGTACAGAAGAGGTTTGTTTAAGTTCAATAAGACAAGAAATAAAATAAGGAATCAGTTTTTTTCTTTAGAGAGACAACAGGTGGTGACGCTGGTAGGGGAGGGAGGAGGGGGGTCAGGGGGAGGGGTAGGGGGATGGGGGTGTTAATACAAAAAGCCAAAATATACAACAACACACAAACTTGCCATTTAATCTTTACTTTTTTTTATTAGGAAGTGGAAAGGTTTTGTTCTAATGGGTTAAAAAACTTTTCAAGAGGATTTATTCTTTTTTAACTTACCTACGTGAGTATACGACCACAGCTTCCCCAGACTCAAGGTTATTATGAGTGAAACATTATTGGAACATTATTGAGAGAGAGAGGGAAAAGGGAGGGGAGGGGAGGGAGGGAGGGGTTACCAAGATGGCGGCGGTGTGGAAGGGAAACCAAGATGTCGATTTGTTTGTTTTTAATGGGGTCCAATATGGCGGTTTGTTTGTTTTGATGGGAAAATCAAGATGGCGGTGATTTGTTTTGCTGGGGGAGCCAAGATGGCGGCGGTCTGTTTTGATGCTCTTGGAGAAGGGAAGGGAGGGGAGGAGATGGGATGGAGGAAGGGGAGGAGAAGCGCCGGGGAGGAAAGGGGAGGAGAAGGGAAGCAGTATTCTGAAGCAGAAGGGAGGGGAGGAGAGAAAGGGGAGGGGTGGGGAGAGGAAGGGGAGGGGAGGGGAGGGAGAGGAGGGGGTCTGAGGGGAAGGGAGGAGGGGAGAAGCAGGATGAAGCCAAGTAGACCTTGACTGGGAAGAGAGAGAGAGAGAGAGAGAGAGAGAGAGAGAGAGAGAGAGAGAGAGAGAGAGAGAGAGAGAGAGAGAGAGAGAGAGAGAGAGAGAGAGAGAGAGAGAGAGAGAGAGAGAGGAAGAATAAGGACGGGGGGAAGAGTAGGGAAAAGGTAGAGAATACCGTAGAAGGGAGGAATGAGAGACGGAGGGATGGACGGACGGAGAGATGAGAGAGGGAGGGAGGAGATAGGCAGAGAGTGAGGGGAGAGAGACAGTGAGGGAGGGAGGCAATAAGGGGGAGGAAGGTGGTGAGAGAGAAAGATAAACAGAGAGTGAGATAGTGTGGAGGGAGGGAAGGAAGGATGGATGGGAAAGGAAGAAAGAAAGGAAGGAAGGAAGGAGGAAGGAAGGAAGGAAGGAAGGAAGGAAGGAAGGAAGGGAGGAAAAGGAGGAAGGAAGGAAGGAAGGAAGGAAGGAAGGAAGGAAGGAAGGAAGGAAGGAAGGAGGAAGGAAGGAAGGAAGGAAAAAAAAAAAAAGAAGGAAGGAAGGAAGGAAGGAAGGAAGGAAGGAAGGAAGGAAGAGAGGAAAGCCACACACAGGTCAAGCAGCTAGGTCAGCTACACTACCAGGCAGCTACTCATTGTCAAACTACCATAACACCTATGGTGCAGCTATGGTGGTGAAACATGGTGGATCATGGTGGTAGAATCAGGTGGTGATGAATCAACAAACAAAACAACAACAAACAAAACAAACAAACAAACAACAACAAGGGATCATGGAGGGATCAGTAGAGGTCATGTGGAGAGGTGAGATCATGTAGAGATCATGGTGGAGGACAGAGAGGACATGGTGGTGAGACTGGAGGAGGTGGTATAGGACATGGGGTAGGGATCAGGAGGGATCGGTGAGGATCATGGAGAGGATCATGGGTGAGATCGGTGGTAGAGGATCATGGTGGTGATTGGTAGTGGAGTATGGTAGTGTTGGTTTATGGTGGTGGTGGTGGTGTATCATGGTGGCGTTTGGTTAATGGTAGTGGTAGATCATGGTGGATTATAGATCATGGTGGATTATAGTAGATCATGTTTGGTGGACCATGGTAGAATATGCAGTCAGTCATGGTAATCAAGTGATGGATAATGGTAGTTTGATAAGAGGAGGGGAGAGGTTAGGGGGAGGGAGGAAAGTGGAGGAGGTGAGGGGGGATGAAGGAAGAGTGAGGGGGATGAAGGGAGAGTGAAGGGGAATGAGGGAGAAGGAATGAAGGAGAGTGAGGGAGAGAGAGGGAGAGGTAAGGAGAGTGAAGTAGTGTAGACTTAACCTGTGAAGTGGTGGGTGGCAGTGGGTGGGTGGGCAGGGTGGTGGCAGGGTGGGTGGGCAGTGGGTGGGTATAGTGTGGATGGCTGGGTGGATAGTGACAATAGGTGGGTGGCAGTGAATGGTGGCAATGGGTGGGTGACATAGGTGGGTGGCAGGGTGGGTGGCTGGATGGGTGGCTGTGGGATGGGTGGCAGTAGGTGGTGGCTGTAGGTGGGTGGCTGGTGGATAGGTGACAATAGGTGGGTGGTAGTGAATGGGTGGCAATGGGTGGGTGACAATAGGTGGGTGGCAGTAGGTGGGTGGCTGTGGATAGGTGGCAGAGTATGGGTGGCAGTGAATGGGTGGCAGTGGGTGGGTGACAATAGGTGGGTGGTAGTAGGTGGCTGGCGGTGAATGGGTGGCGGTGAATGGGTGGCAGTGAATGGGTAGGGTCACTAAGAGACTTACACCGCCACATCGACAAATTCACCACCATTTTTTTAACCACATTTAATAAAAAAAAAAGTATTTGAATTTGCCAGGAGCATCACAAGTCTCACAAACATATCAACAACCCCTGAGGGAGTTGTAATGGTTGTTATGAAGAAGGTTGCTCGATATAACAACAACAACAACTTGGCTGACTTAAGAGACAGAGGAACCAACTTTGACAGAGCCTTCGGGCCTTCCGGGGGTAATGAGGTCCTTCTCAAATGTTTTAGTGAAGTTGTGAAATTTGCTGCGAGCGATGCGGGGAACTGTGGTGGTGGTGGTGGTGGTGGTGGTAGTGGTAGGTGGGTGGTGGTGGTGGTGGTGGTGGTGGTGGTGTAGAATTTTTTGTGGTGATTGAGATGGTGGTTGACGCAGGTGGTGATGGTGGTGGTGATGATGGTGAAGTGGTGGTGGGTGACGTGTATGGTGAAACATAGGTGATAGTGGTGGTGTAGTGTGGTAATGGTGGTGTAGTTGTGGTGGTAATGGTGATGGTGGAGATGGTGGGGGTGCAGGTGGTGGTGATGGGCGGTGGGGGTGATGGTGGGCGTACGGGTGGTGATGGTGTGTGTGTGGGTGGTGATGGTGGTAGGGGCATACGGATGGTGGAAGGGCATGGATGGTGATGGTAGGCGCAGGTGGTGATGTTGGGCGTGCAGGTGGGTGATGGGCGTGCAGGTGGTGATGGTGGGCGTGCAGGTGGTGGTGGGCGTGAAAGCATGGTGGTGATAGGCATGCAGGTGGTGGTGGGCGAAGGAATGGTGGTGGTGGGCGTGTCGGTGGTGGTGGGCGTGCCGGTGGTGGTGGGCGTGAAAGTAATGGTGGTGATAGACATGGTGGTGGTGGGTTCAGGTGATGGTGGTAGCATCAGGTGGTGTAGTGACGGTGGTGCAATATAGGCGATGTTGTGCTGGTTGTGGCGGTGCTGGTGGTAGTGGTAGTGATGGTAGCTGGTTGGTGGTATAGTGGTAGGAGAGGCAACAGCGGTGGTGCTTATGGTACTGCTGGTGATAGTGGTTAAAATCGCTGGTAGTGGTGGTGATAGTAGGTGAGGTGCTAGGACTGGTAGGAGGGGTAGTGGTAGTGGTGGTACACACACACACTGACCACACAGAACACTTACAGGTGTGTACAAGAAGGAATAGTGGGTGAGGCGAGGTGAGGTGAGGTGAGGCGAGGAGGCGGAGGTGGGAGGCGAGGTGAGGAAGGTGGCACAGCAGGTGAGTGAAGGGAAGAAGCAGCAGCAGCAGCAGGTAGTACGTACTTGTGTGGAAGCCGGTGGGGTAGCGTCGGTCACTACCCAAGACGTTAGCTGCTCGGGACGCGTTCTGCCGACGGCCTCCTCCCTGGCCGGCCTCCATCAAGGGGTTTTGTATTTGGGTGTCGACGGCGTAGAGGGATGAATTATCGTAGGGTATAACGCTGACTGCAAATGACCCATGAGAGTTACCGCCGGTCCGTGGGGTGGTGTGACGGTCTACGGTGAGGACATTGTGCGTTTGCGCCGAGTAGGCGGGCAGGGGCTCTGCCGTGATGAGGGTGGCATGCGGGGGCACGGGAGTGACTGCCCAGGGTAAGTGGGTGTGGCGGTGGTGGGGGCAGAGGGCGCAGTGTGGGGCGCCGCGCGTGGAGGGTGGGGGAGAATGAGCTCCCACACACCCCCCGCACCGCCCTGGCCTGGGGAAGGAGGTGGTGCAGAGGCAGGTAACGTATCTGTAAGGAACCAGAGAAAAGAAAAGATAGAAGAAATATAAACAACATAAAGAGTGCGATAAGCTAGATTAGAGGCCGTGGAGGTGTGCTGCTGCCCCACCCACCCCGCCACGCCCTCACACCTCACACCCCCACACCTCTCACACCCCTCAACCTCCCACACCTCACACCTCACACCCTCACACCCCCACGCCCCTCACACCTCACATCCCCTACACCCCCTACACCTCCTTCACACCTCTCACACACCTCCTCACACCCCTCACACCCCTCACACCCCTCACACCTCTCACATCTCCCAGACCAGATATCCCTCCTCCTAGTGACATGCCTGGCATTAGACATTATTAGGGACCTGCCACTCTTGCCATAAACAGATAAAATGTACCTGAACTTTCCCCACACACACTACATCATTCCTCTCACTTTATGTAACTTGACAGAACCTATGACCCTTCAGGCTTTACGCCCTTAATGTATGATATAAAGGCAAGTATGAACTTTTCATATTTCCCTGTTACGCTGTAAACGCTTGCGCTTCACCTGCACAGGATGGGGGTGCTCAATAAACTAGCTCCCTGGGGCAAATCTGAATCTGAATCTTCACACCTCTCACACACCTCACACCTCTCACACTCTCACACACACTCTCACACCCCTCACACCCTCACACCTTCACACCCTCACACCTCTCACACACCTCACACCTCTCACACCCTCACACACCCTCACACACCTTCACACTCCCCTCACACCTCTCACACCCCCACACCTTCCCCACACACCACACCTCTCACATACCCTCACACCTTCCCACACACCCCACACCTCTCACACCCCTCACACCTCTCACACCCCTCACACCTTCCCCACACCCCACACTCCCACACCCCTCACACACACCCCACACCTCCACACCCCCCACACCTCCTCACACCCCTCACACCTCTCACACCCCACACACCCCACACCCCCACACCTTCACACACCCTCACACCTCTCACACCCTCACACACCCTCACACCTCTCACACCCCTAACACCTCTCACACCCCTCACACACCTCACACCCTCACCCCCCCCCACCCTCACACCCCTCACACCTCTCACACACCTCACACCTCTCACACCTCTCACACCTCTCACACCTCCCCACACCTCACACCCCTCACACACCCTCACACCTCACCCTCACACCCCACACCTCTCACACCTCTCCACACACCCTCACACCCTCCTCACACCCCTCACACCCTCACACACCCCACACCCCCACACACCCCCACACCCCCACACCCCCACACACCCTCACACCCCCACACACCCTCCCCCACACACCTCACACCTCCCCACACCCCTCACACCTCTCACACCTCTCACACCTCTCACAGCTTCACACCCCCTCACACCTCTCACACCTCTCACACCCTCACACCTCCTCTCACACCCTCACACCTCCTCACACACCTCACACCTCTCACACTCTCACACACCTCACATCTCTCACACCTCTCACACCCTCACACCTTCTCACACCCCTCACACCTCTCACACCCTCTCACACCCCTCACACCCTCACACCTCTCACACCCCTCACACCTCCTCACACCTCTCACACCCCTCACACCCCCTCACATTTCTCACACCTCTCACACCTCTCACAGCCACACCCCACACCCCTCACACCTCCTCACACCCCTCACACCCTCACACCTCACACCCCTCACACCCCCACACCTCTCACACCCCCACACCTCTCACACCCCTCACACCTCTCACACCTCTCACACCTCTCACACACCCCACACCCCACACCCCCACACCTCTCACATTTCTCACACCCTCACACCCTGCAGCTTTCACACCTCACACCTCTCACACCTCTCACACCCTCACACCTCACACCTCCTCACACCCCTCACACCCTCTCTCACACCCTCTCACACCCCCTCACACATCTCACATTTCTCACACCTCTCACACCTCTCACAGCTTTCACACCTCACACCTCTCACACCTCCACACCCCCACACCTCTCACACTTTCACACCCCCTCACACCTCTCACACCTTCACACCCCTCACACCTCTCTCACCCCTCACACCTCTCACACTCCTCACACCTCTCACACTTCTCACACCCCTCACACCTCTCACACCTCTCACACCCGTCACACCTCTCACACTTGTCACTCTCATACCCACTACTCGCACACCGCACTCTCACACAGCTTACTCACACACCTGTTCAAAATTCCTGGCTTACACACCTGTCTTACACACCTGCACTACACCTAGATCACTAAGGTTGATTACCTTACACATGTGGCCTGTATACTTACACATATGGTCTGTATACTTACACATGTGGTTTGTATACTTACATATGTGGTTTGTATACTCACACATGTGGTCTGTATACTTACACATGTGGCCTGTATACTTACACATATGGTCTGTATACTTACACATGTGGTTTGTATACTCACACATGTGATCTGTATTCTTACATATATAGCCTGTATACTTACACATGTGGCCTGTATACTTGCACATGTGGCCTAGAAACTCACACATGTGGCCTGTATACTTACACATGTGGTTTGTATACTCACACATGTGATCTGTATACTTACATATGCAACCTGTATACTTACATATGTGGTCTATATACTACACATGCCTCATTTCACACATATGGTCTGTATACTTACACATGTGGTTTGTATACTCACATGTGATCTGTATACTTACATATGTAACCTGTATACTTACATGTGTGGACTGTATACTTACACATGTGGACTGTATACTTACTCATGTGGCCTGTATACCTACACATGTGGACTGTATACTTACACATGTGGATTGTATACTTACACATGTGGTCTGTATATTTACACATGTGACTGTATTTACACATGTGGACTGTATACTCTACATGTGGGACTGTATACTTACACATGTGGCCTGTATACTTACACATGTGGACTGTATACTTACACATGTGGTCTGTATACTTACACATGTGGACTGTATACTTACACATATGGCCTGTATACTTACACATGTGGTCTGTATATTTACACATATGACTCATCCATCATACCTGACTAACATACCTCACACATCAGCTGTTTATTTATATACATGTGACTTTCAAACATGACAGACATACACACACACACACACACATCCACACACACACACACATGCACACCCACACATGTGCACATACAGACAGACACGATACCCATGACCACAGACCAGAGACAGACCAGAGTGGCGGTGGGTAACGTCAGGGAGTTTAAAGTTCAATACCACAGAAGGAGAGGCAAGACGGTATAGCGACCTCCCTTGGGGACTGTGAGGGGTCAAGTGCCAGAGAGTGCCAGAGGGTCAGGGGGTGGGGGAGTGGTGGGGGGGTGTTGCTAGTGGCACCTGTCAGGCACTTCTCGTCTCTACAACATGTGACTTGATACTGTGGCGGTAGTAGGTGTTTATGACCGCAAGAAGCACAGTGCAGATATCTAGAGAGTGTATGTGCTGCTAGACAGTATTTGTGGGGGGGGGAGGAGTTTGTTTTGCTGGTAAGTGCAGAGGGTATGTGTATGTTTTGTGTTTGTGTGTGTGTGTGTGTGTGTGTGTGTGTTTCCCCATATGGCCATGATTAGTTGATTTTTTGTTTGTTTTTCTGAGCTTTTAATTGACCTTAGAAGGGGTCACACACACACACGAGTGAGCGGGAGCTAGAGAGGGAAGTTCTGAGTGTATGAGTGTGAGTTCCCTCTCCTTTTAGAACTTTGGTGCCTTTCTGGCTAAATAAAGAGAGAGAGGGAGGGATGAGAGGATGTGTGAGAGGTATGTCTATTCTCCTCTCGGTTCACTCACCAGGTAAACAAACCTACATTGGTGCTTCCCTCTCAGCTCCCAGACAGGTGGTGACTCATCAACAGTGTGCAGTAGACATATGGCTGAGACAAGACACACACACACACAGACACAGACATAGACACACACACTAGCCAAGGCTAATATAATAGGTGTGGTTGCTTTCTCTAAGTGTTGAGAGTCACCACATAGAACATACACAATGCAGTAAACAGCTTAGTGGGTGGTGGTAATAGTGGTGGTTGGTGGTGATGTGGTTGGTTGATTGATTGGTTGGTTGGTTGTCTGCCGCTGTCTGCTGAGTGTCTACATAGTACCATAACCAGGTGTGCTATTTTGGAACAATCTTATAACCACAGGTGCTCATGTACAAGAAAATAGTGCAGAGAAGAAACAAATATAAAACTAATACCGAATTCTCTTTTTTGGTGCATCTAAAAACATGATCTAGTAGAGTCTAATTAAAGGTGGTTGTCTTTGTTTACTGTACAGAGGAGTGTTTTAGCTTATGGTGTATACACAGCAGCGACCGACACAATATCCGTCACTGTATATACAACCAAGAACAATGTTTAGACACCATAAATGGGATAAAACCGTCTGTATATACATTCTGTGACGTATATATGCCTTCTGTGATGAATATATGGCTTCTATGACGCATATATACCGTTTATGAAGTATATATACCGTTTATGACGTATATATACCGTTTATGACGTATATATATTGTTTATGACGTATATATACCGTTTATGACGTATATATACCTTTTATGACGTATATATACCGTTTATGACGTATATATATCGTTTATGACGTATATATACCGTTTATGACGTATATATACCTTCTATGACGTATATATACCTTCTGTGACGTATATATACCTTCTATGACGTAATCAACAATAACAACATTCTTCTCGGGGTCAACTGAAGGTGTGAGTGAGTCTTATACCCATTTACAGTGTCTACTAAAGTACCCAAAACCCTTTTTGGCAGAAGTTTGAAGTAGAGAGAATTTGAAGTTACTGAGGAAATAAAACAAGTATAAGAGATAAATATTAAGATGCATAGCAGTGATAGAGAGATAGAGAGACAGACAGCAAGAGATGATATAAGAGAACTCTGGAGTCTTTTGTCTCTTTATAATGAATTTGAGTCTTTTTTTGTTTTTTGTTTTTGGGTTAAGTCTTAGTGGTTAACTCCAGGTAACTCTCGACCACTACTCTCACCTCAACACAGCAGTAGTGAAGGATTGTAACACCACTCTAATAACCCGCAACATTAACTACCCAGATAGTGGTCAAAGCCTTTTAGCTAAGAGTGAGAAGCATTATGCCTTTTAATGCCATTCTAAAGCACAGAGAGCCATTTTCACACCACTTCACCACCTCAAGCAATCACCCGAGTGTGCCTCTACTGTCGCTTGAGCGGTAATCATCGGAGTAATATCTCTCAACGACCGCTTAAGCATGAGATAAGGGACAAGTCGAGGTGTTGCTTAGCAAGAAAAAATAATGTGAGAAATGTCCCTTAAGAGAGGAGATGTCATCGTAGGTGGCCAGTAAATAAAGCCATTGTTTGGTATAATAGTACACGTCTTATGCACTATATCTGTTACGTGGGTGTGCATCAGGGTACCAGACTGCCCCATGTACAGTATATGCGTGTACACTACTACTGGTGCACGTACAGTACACTCTGGTTGTGTATTTCTGTGCGTTATCGTATGTTAGATGAGAGTGTACATGAAATACACTTGGTACTGGTGTAGTCCTGTGTACAATCACCAATAATGGCTTAAACACGATGTACACTCGAGTTTGGTATATGTCTGTACATTGCCATCCGCTCAGGTGGTGACTGGTGAGGTAAATATTCCACGGAGTCACAGCTGGTCACAGTGGCACCATCTGTTACATAAGTCACAGCTAGTCACATTAGCACCATCTGTCTCACCGGAATACCTCCACCAGTCACCACCTGTTTGGTATCTCAGCTGGTGTTGTTGTGGTATCCGCCCACAGCCTGGTGAAGCCGCATTATTAAAAGGATATCTCTTGTTGGTGCTGACCCATACTAAGGTTAGGTTAGGTTAGGTTACCCAAATCCATATGAAATCTAACCTAACCTACTTAACCACATGTCAATAGAATAATGGTTAGATTAGGTTAGTTTAGATTAGTTTAGGTTAACTTTGACCTAATCTAACTTGACCTGACCTGAGCACATACGTGTGTTCATCTGTGGTAGGAGGTGGGGGTGAAGGGGTGTGGGGGTAGGAGGGGTGAAGGGGTGTGGGGTGAGGAGGGGTGAAGAGGTGTAGGGGTAGGAGGGGGTCATATAACATACATCCTTTTAACAACACGGCTGATATAGTTTTTATATGGACTCCCAGTGATAATAATTCATATATGACCTATAACAATCACCTATATAAACACATTCTATATATAAATATAATACACACAAAATATATATATATATATATACTGAAGTGACGTCCATTATTACTGTGATGAAAATAAAACATTGAGAAATATATAAATTATACCTAAATATAGACAGATATATAAATCTACATAATACATATTATTTATATAGAATAAAATATAACCTGGATTTATATATAATAATTCAAGGCAAAAATATATATATAAAACAAATATAACATGGGCAGTAAAGCAATATAGAGATTTATATAAGAAAAAAGTATATAGAAAAATTACATTGATTGTATATTTAACAAGATGGGGGACGAGGTGGTGGTGGGATTGTAGGAGGGGGTGATGGGAGGGAAGTGAAGAGTGGGGAAGGAGATGGGGAAAAGAAAAGAAAAACTGGGTAGGAAATAGATAATTGATGAGAGAGAGAGAGAGATACCACCAAACATACCATTTCTCTCCTCTCCCCTTACCTATCTCTCTCCCTTCTTTCACTTTCTTCCTTCCTTCCCTCCTCTTCTCTCTCCCTTATCTTATCCTTCCTTCTCTCATACTCTCTTCCCTCCTTCTTCCATCTCTCTCTCCTCCCACTTCTATCTCTCTTTCTCTCTCTCTCTCATCTCTCCTCCTTTTTCTCACTCCAAGGGGGAGACGTCTCCACCACACATCTCCCAGCAATTATTAATCAGTCTACTGCTAAAAGAAGACTATTTTACCTGATAATTTTCGTACCTGTAATTAGTGACAAAATGCTTTCTTTCTTTCCTCTCTCTCTTTAACACCACACACGCCCACACACACACCCCAAACATCCCACCCCACCACCCACCCCTCACACACACACACACTCACACCACCCTCCACCCACCACCCACCACCATTAATGTTTACACAGGAAGGACCTCAGCTGCGGAGATAGTTACACCTTTTCAAACCTTCTCCGTCTGCGCCTCCTGGGCCAGGGATTTACCTGCCGGAACACCTGGAATGAGGCTAATTACGGAAAGGGATTAAAGTAGGGAAGTGTGTCGGTGGATGGTGGTGACGACAGGTATGAATATATGACGCTAAAAAAAAGAAAAAAGTTGAAGATAAAATGTGGTTTGTGTGTGTGTGTGTGTGTGTGTGTGTGTGTGTGTGTGTGTGTGTGTGTGTGTGTGTGTGTGTGTGTGTATTATTTGAATTACTTCCTCCTTTCTCTTCCTTCTCTCTATCTTCTCCCTCACTTTCTCTCTCCTTTCTCTCTCACCTATCTTTCACCCCGCCCCCCTCTCAGTGATCGGTCAAACCAACAACTTCACACAGACAACTCAGAGGTGAGGCATCAGGGGTTCGTTGGATGGATGGAATGTCAGAGGATAGTGGAAAAGGTGATAGCTAGAAGTGGATGGTATGGGAGAGGCGGAAGTTGGGACGGCATGGAGGGCGGAAGGAGAGTGAATAGGGATAGAACAAGACGGATGGGCAGAAAGGAAGGAGGTGGGACAGGGCAGGGATGCAGAAAGGAGTATGGGACGGTGCTAGGACGGAGAAGGGTAAGGTGAGGCCTAGGACGAGTCGGGGGAGCGGGCGGAAAGGAGGGCTGGTACTCACCCACGCAGGGATTGTTGTGAACTCTGCGGAAAATCCTCTGCCTTCCTCTTCTGACGGTCCATGGGGCAGATACAGCCAAACATAGGAGACATCTTGAGCTTGGTCCAGGAGCTGAGACATCTGCTACTGTGAGAGATAAGAGAGAGAGAACATGGTGAGATAGTCGCTGAGGAGAGAGAGAGATCTGTTACTGTGAAATACAAAAGAGAGAGAACTTGGTGAGACAGTGGCTGAGAGAGAGAGAGAGAGAGAGAGATTAGACTATAAATATTCAATCAACGTAAAAATTGAATTCGTCATCCACCACCACTACCACCACTCCTCCCTACCACAACCACCAGCCCCCTACCTACTACCATCGAATATTTATATAGGGAGAGTCTCTAGGGGGCTGCCTCACGAGCTAGGGGCTGACCTATAGTGCACCGTCTACTGATCCTTTTTATCAATAATACGCGTGGGTGGGGTGGGTGGGGGTGGGTGGGGTGGGTGGGAGTGGGGTGGTGAGTGGGTGAGTAAACATAGATACAGGTATACATACAGATATACTTTTTAACGCTGAAATGGATGGAGTAAAATGGATAGATAGATATAGATAGATAGATAGATAGATAGATAGATAGATAGATAGATAGATAGATAGATTGATAGATAGATAGATAGATAGATAGATAGAAACAAACACTGACACCAGATAGAATAAATCAATGACCTTCGCTATTATCTTCAAGGTCAAAGGTCATTCACTAAAAAAGTTATACCAAAAGTGATCTCATAATATAATTAGTATTTGACCTTTGACCTCTGACCTTTGAACTCTGACGTATGACCTCTTGAACTCCTCACAAGTGTCAATGGTCAACCTGGTACAGGGGTCAAAGGTCAAATAACGCCCACAAAAATTAGTGCCATGTATCAACTGTTGTTTCATTGTCTGACGGTGAATGTACACACAACTGTACACACACACACACAAAGACAGACAGACAGACAGACAGACAAACAGACAGATAGACAGACAGACAGACAGACAAGCAAACAGACAGACAGACAAAGCAAACAGACAGACAGACAGACAGACAGACAGACAAGCAAACAGACAGACAGACAGGCAAGCAAACAGACAGACAGACAGACAGACAGACAGACAGACAGACAGACAGACAAGCAAACAGACAGACAGACCCAACACAGACGGTGATGACCTATAAGAGTTTAACTGAAGCGACAGAAAGAGTTAAAAGAGCGAGGTAAGATTGTCGCCATTAATTCATCTCTCTGCCTACCACGGTAGCTCACTCACTCACTCCAACCTCACTCACTTCATACTTCACCCGAGATAATTATGAGGGAGAGAGAGAGAGAGACTACCGCGATGATAGTGAAACATGGGTTGCAATTACCGTAGACTTTATCAAAAGTCTTTAGTTAATTCGAAGCTCTGTCTGTCTCTCTCTCTCTCTCTCTCTCTCTCTCTCTCCTCTCTCTCTCTCTCTCTCTCTCTCTCTCTCTCTCTCTCTATTTTTCATATTCACTTGTTTACTCTCTCTGTTTCTCTTTATTTCCTTCTTCTTTGTTGAGTTAGGTTAGGTTAGGTAAATTAATACAACTTTTTTTCACTTCGTAGTTCTGACTGTTGATATCTCCACCCTATTTACCTCCTCCTTCCTTCCTCCTCCACCCTATTACCTCCTCCTTCCTTCCCTCCCTCCACCTTATTACCTCCCTCCTTCCTTCCTCTCCACCTATTCCTCCCTCCTTCCTTCCTTCTCCCACCCTATTTACCTCCCTCCTTTCTTCCCTCCCTCCACCCTATTTACCTCCCTCCTTCCTTCCCTCCCTCCACCTTATTACCTCCCTCCTTCCTTCCTCCTCCACCCTATTTACCTCCCTCCTTCCTTCCTCCCTCCACCTTAGTACCTCCTCCTTCCTTCCCTCCCTCACCTTAATTACCTCCTCCTTCCTTCCCTCCATCCACCCTCCCCACCTCCCTCCTTCCTTCCCTCCTTCCTTCCCTCCCTCCACCCCTTTTACCTCCCTCCTTCCTTCCTCCCTCCCCCCTATTCCTCCCTCCTTCCTTCCCTCCCTCCACCTTAATTACCTCCTTCCTTCCCTCCCTCCCCTATTTATCTTCCTCCTCCTTCCCTGCAACTCTCCTTGGCTACTAGTTTCTTCCCAGCTCTCTCTCTCAGCACCTCCTCCAGCATCTCCCACCCAACATCCTCCTCCCTCCCCATCCTCTCTCCCCACCCCTCACCTCCCCATCCTCTCT